CAAGAAAATGTATTTGTTCAGCCGACCATAAAGATTGGCCACCACTGTTTTAACCTCTGAAGTCTGATTCAAGTTGCATAGTAGAACAGTTTCTTTCATTGACCGAAAGCAAAGATTGCATCAGAAATACAGTAGGCGTGGGCATAGTTCCTAATCAATTTGCAACTTTTCTTAAGCAACTGAGGAATGTCTTGATCACTTTCTCCAGAACACTGCATATCGAACCTCTAAACAGCTTACTTACCATATTTAAAAAATATGAAATATGACATGTCTTGCATTGGTTTCACTATAAGAGTTTTTTTCTTCACAAAAAATCTTTCAACACAATTTCTGATTGAATCACCTCACATGCAATCTGTGAAGACAATGTTCCATCCATTTTGCTTACACATTCTGTCAGCTAATTAATTTCCCTTAAGATAAACAACATCTTTGATGGTTGTATCTGTACCATCAATGATAAGGTACTATTTCTCCTGCTATACATCTAATTATACTGAAACATCAATAATGATTTAGGAGGGACTTCATTTTCTTCAGAAAGATTAAACTGAAGCTCCATCGTTCGACAATAGATGGGAGAATTAATCTTTGACCCTCCAGTGAGAAACGAAATCCAGAAAACTTACATTAATAAAAGCTTTTCTTTCAATATTTAACAGTTGTCCAGCAGACAATTTTATGTTTAAAAGTTGGAACTCTGCATCTTTATTACCATAGAAGGCAGTTTGAAATACTGTTGCCATAGATTCTTTGAAATGCATTCAAACAAACATTACTTTTGTAACAATTTCTAAGTGAATGCATTTGTGGGGTGAAAGCCTTCTTTAGAATAAGATACAGATTACAAACAATATCAATTTGAAATGAGCAAACTTTCGAATTTTGCATTTGAGAGCTTTCAACCTTGGTAAGGGTTTGAAACATCCCAGATGAGAAATTCTACCAATGTTTAACATATAAATCCAATGTAACTGAGATTGCAGAAGATATGAAATATTCCTAAATGTTTTAAAATTTCTAATTCTACATTAATTAGTTTTGAAAGCCGAAAGGTAACAATATTCATTTTGGAACGGATTATTCAAAACACTTGCTTTATCTTTTGTTAAATTTCAAGATGCTGTATGTTATTAAAGTATTCTTTATATGTCAATGGCACATATATCAAAAAGACACCTTATTAGAAAACAACAGCCAACAAATAATCTTTGTTTACACATTCTATCACAGGTCTGGGGAATCACCAAAGTTTTAGAAACTGTTATCAACGAACAGATGACATTAATAACAATCCTTGCATTTGGTATAGTGCCTTATCACATTGTTAAGATGTCTCAAAGAACTTCACAAGGTATACTGTAAAGCAGATTGACTGGGTATTTTGTGGGCAAAGTGTAAACAAAACTAAAATATAGCATTCTTTTCTGCTTTAAGAAAACTCAAAAAGAAATCAACAGAATGGTTTATACCACACATTCTAGTAACTGCTGGATAATTGCACTCAAATAGATTCCTAAATGGATCTTAAAGTACAATACAAAAACAAGATGGTAAAGTTCAAACACTAATACTAACTTAATGTAAATAGCCAAATTGTATAAATGATCTCTGCATTGAAATACAAATGCTGCACTTATATTCATATACTATTCTGCTCTTGTGACTGCAGAATTCTTATACTCATACTCCTGTCTGTTGAAATTAAACAACTCAAGTAGCAGTTTTGTTTTAATCCAAATAGTTTTGAAAAACATTCCCAGCCTTTCTTACATAACTATTCTAAACAAACAAATTTCACAAGTCATTTTGCCGAAAAAAGTAAGCAAACTGAAGGTGCTTTGACTTAATCATTGCTGTTTAAAATCTCATCTGCAAAAATATTGTTTTGGTTGTTCTAAATATTGAAGGTTTTTCTAATAAATAATGAAAATTATCTATTAGAAAAACATTCAATATTTAGAACAACCAAAACAATCAGTGCTTACATCAACGGATGGGGATGGAGGGCTAGAAAGTGACACGAGATAGATAGGCAGGGAAGAAAATGTGTTTAATGGTTTAACTAACTACACCAATCTGTAAATAATCAAATTCAAATAATTTGAATTGTGAATCTTAATTCAACATATCCTACAGTTAGGATTAGTAATGCCTCACTGCTCCTTTTATTAAAATAGCTACTCTTTTAACAAAAGTCTTTTTCAATGTTAAGATTTTTTTCTCTGCTCTGAAAGGCTATTAATTACCATTTACACATTTGCAAATAATGAACCAACAGCTACAATCACACAATTTAAGCATTACTAATACACAGAACAAGAGCGAGAGAAATACATTGAGGTACAGCCAAATATACTCAATTTGTATTTCATTAATTCTCTAAGCACACAGAAATCATTTAAACCAAATGCAGAGTTTACTGTCTTTCACAATGAATAAATAGGATTATCCAGCCTCTACTACACCTATTAGCAATAAAAATGAACTACTGGTATGAATTCAACGCCTTAAATCAAGTGTTGTTCATGGTTGTGTCATGAAACAACTTGTCCAAAGTTCACATGGGTTTGTTTCACAGACTAATTCCTGCAGTAACCTACAATAATTCAATATTCTCTTCAAAGCAGGCTGTTAAGGTTTATTACATGGGCTATCTTCCAGAATTCTATTTGAAAATAATTATACAGGTATCAATCTACAACATATTATCAGGGGCTTTTTCTCTCCCTCAAAGCTTGAGAAAAAAAGTCCAACTTGGTCTGCTCGAGATGCACAAATTTACATTGCCTAATTTCCAATCAGTGATTACTAATCTGAAGACATTACTATTCTCACACAATCCACTTGTAAATAGCTACACTGTACTTTTTGTTTCAAACTGTATGCACTTCACAAAAGATATAAAAAGTAAAATCAAATGAAAAATTCCAGGAGACATTTATTGTACTTTGTTGCCCAATGAAGATAAAGAACTATTTGACTTAATGTCCTGAAATCTTTCAAATCTACTAGCACTCACGGCTCGTCATGCCACCTGCTTTGACACACTTTCAACTAGCCTGTTGCTGCAAAACAAAACATTCTACCAATAAATTTACTTCAATATCAGGTCAAGCTTCATAACTTTCAACAATTCTACAATGCTCATTTTGAATGGTCAATTGTTGTTCAACAACTCATTACACATTTCACAGATGTATATCAGCACAAGTTATTTTGTATGGATATCAGAACAAGAGTTTTTTTTGATGGTTATTATAGGAAGTTATATTAAGTTTTATTAAGCACATTAACACTTTTGATTCTCACAACTGAATTGGAAAAAGAACAAACTCAAAATATAAGACGATCCCAATAAATCTAGTTTATGCATCAGAAAGTCAATGGATGTGCAGGAATGATTTGAAGGTCATAACTTCATCTCAAGGATAAGGATGACAGTCACAACCACTGTTTCTGAAACCCATGAAATGACTTTTAATCACTCATTTATTTTTCATCGACATAAACTAGGTATTTAATTCTACTGCAGCCTTACAATACCCTCATGACATACTACAACTAGTATGCAGTAAATGAGAAAATATCTCAGAACACTGAACTGCCAACTTAAACTTGAAAGAACATATTTACTGATAAGACTAAAAATATTTCCTTGCATACTAAAAATACTTCTGATAGCTGAGACATGCACGGAATTTTTTAAAAAAATTCCCAACACTATTATTCTTGATTTGTGAATGTGACCCATATTCATGCTTAGTTTTAACGAAATCGTGTGTTATACAAAACAAAACTGTCGATTAATGTTATTTTGAGTTTCTATTAGCAGTACCACCAACTGAACCATTCATTAATTAGTTACAAAGATTTATATGTACTTTCATCACACACCGACTACAGAATCTGGTACACAGCTCAGTTACTCGCAGGTTTTTGTGATCCGGGAAAAAACGACTTCGGACCTAATTGAGGGGGTGAGTAATTTTATTTAGCAACTGGAGTAATGACTAATGCATCGGTGTATAATGAGAGATTTTTCTGGTGAACCGTCCCATCAACGTTCTTCAAAACGTCTCAAGATTCACTACGAAAGCCTTCGGGAAGAGCTACAGAGTTGTTAAAGAAATAATAAACGGTATCTTCCCAAAGATACCCTTTACCTGTTCTACTACGGGTGTGTGTGTGTGGTGTGTGTGTGTGTGGGTGTGTGTGGGCGTGTGTGTGGGTGTGTGTGTGGGTGTGTGTGTGGGGGGGGATGTGGATAGAGAAACAATCAAAACCGCAACGGTAAAGGAACATCGTTTCAGACGATATAACTAAAATGTTCCCAAGTCACAGACACTCCAAAGCAAAGCCACGCGACTCGGGACTCCGAAGTCACTTTGGCTCTCGCTCCGGTATTAAAATCTACACCACCCGACTCCCCTTCAGCCACAGTACGACACAGAAGCGACGTACTCCATCTTAAGTCTTGATCGCCACACACTTTTACGGTTCGGGACGGAACACCGACGTCCAGTGAGAGTTGAACGCGCGGTCCCGGTCCCCCTCGGGCTCCGGCGGTGCGGTTCACTTACACACGTCAAATACAAAGGTAACGGGAGAGGGACAGACAGACAGACACAGAGCCTCGACTGTGAAAACTTTTCTGTCTCTCTCTCTCTCTCCTCCCCTTGTCGGGACCGCGTAAAATGGGGACCCTGTGTGACCAATGCACTCAGACCGTGTGTGAGTGAGAGAGAGAGAGACTGACTGACTGACCCGGGACTTTCGATCTCGATAGATAGAGAGATAGAGAGAGAGAGAGAGAGATGTCCGCCACAAATTGCTGCTCAGACAAGACAGTCGGACATTTGCGGGTTACAGAGCCTCGCGGTGGGCGGGCGGGAGGGAGGGAGGGGAGAGCCCAGGTGTCCCCCTGAAGCCGTGGGGGTGGGGGGGGGGGTGTCTGCCCCCCGCTCCACCCACCCACCCACCGGCGCTGCCCTCACCTGTCCTCGGAGTCCATGCGGCTGAGCGGTTCCCCATCCGACGAGTTCTCCAAACTCTGCCGACGGTTCCCGGCGGCCGGAGCTGCCGTTTCCTCCCGGTGTTTCTGCTGCTGCTGCGGCGGCGGCTGCGGCTGTGGCTGTGGCGGCGGCTGCTGCTGAGCGGCGGCGGCTCTGACTCCGCTCCTCGGGGCCGGGCTGACGTGCTGGTGCTGGTGCTGGTGGCGGGCCGGGCCGGCCGGCCTGTGGGAGTCGGCCTGCGGGCTCCCGCTCTCCTCTCGGGCGCTCTCGGGCTCGGCCTCGGGCTCGGCCTCGGGCTCCGTCTCCTCCTCCTCCACCTCCTCCCGCGGCTGTTTCGAGGCCTGAGACCGAGCGCCGCTGCTCTTGGCCTCGGCTCTGCAGCTCTTACCGCCTCCTCCCGTGGCCGCCGCTCCGTTCAACATGGCGGCCGCGTCGGCGACCTCCTCCTCCTCCTCCTCTTCTTCTTCCTCCTCCTCCACCTCCTCCTCCTCCTCCTCGCCGCCGCCGGCGAGAGACAGAGCGAGAGGGAGAGGCGCGGCGGCGGCGGGTTTGATGGCGGGGCAGGAGGACGCGGCGCGGGCGGCGGCGGCGGCCATTCCTCCCTCAGCGCGAGCGGAGCGGAGGAGCGGAGCCGCGGGTCACGTGCGGCGGCGGCGGCCGCGCGGGGAGGGAGGGGGGGGGGGGGGAGCGCTACGGCGGCTCAGAGACCAACGGCCTCCGGGGAGGGACCGAGGAGCGCGTTTCCGAAATACATCGAATACAACAGTAATAATGTTGCCAGCAATAATGGTAGTAATGATAGTAACAATGCTGCTAGTAATAATAGCAATAGTGATAACACTGCTAGTAATGATAGTAATAATAATAGTAATAATGCTACTAGTAATAACAGTAATAGTAATAGTAATAATGTTGCCAGCAATAATAGCAATAATAATAGTAATAATGCTACTAGTAATAGCAATAGTGATGATGCTTCTAGTAATAACAGTAATAATAATAGTGATAATACTACCAGTAATAATAGTAATAGTAATAGTGATAATACTACCAGTAATAATAGTAATAGTAATAGTGATAATACTACCAGTAATAATAGTAATAATAAAAGTAATAATACTACTAGTGATAAATTTCGCGGTATCCTGAATGGGATGTACTCTCTTTCCTCGGAACGATGTTTCCCACTTCACTAATTGCACAGTGTTTGGTGCTGTTTGGTAAGAACTGAAGTGCCGCAGTGGTGGGAGGACGGGGGGGGGGCGCTGGAGGGATGGGGGGGGGGAGGGGGGCGCTGGAGGGATGGGGACGGTGGGGGGGGGGGGGTGGGGGGCGCTGGAGGGATGAGGTTGGATGGGCCAAAGGGCCTTCTTCATTCCAGACCAATCTTGTGAAGGAATGTCAGTTTTTGGCTCTCAGTTGTTCGCTCTCTCACATCGGAGTCAGAAACCCACGTCAGAGTCGTGGGTTTAAGCCCTGTGTTGGAACTTTGCTCCGAAAGCCTAAACTGATCCAACGGTATAGTTCTGCACCGTCGGAGGTTCTGTCCCTCAGAAGAGATGTTAAATTGCGGTTACCAACTCCTCGTTAATTCCAGTCAATCTTGCGGAACGCTTCTAAAACACTCCCACTACACGGAAGACACCGGATCAAACGCAACGACCATTCCATTCCATCAGCTGAAGAGCGAAGGGGGTACTTCTTGAGAGTTTGGGGACGACCATTTTTTTAGGGATCGGTTCACTGCGCAGTACGTTGGCGTGAAGCGCTTTGAGATGTCTTGGAGACCTGATTAAGGCGCCATATTAAAATGCAAGGATTATTATTACTACGAGGAGAAATACCTTTCAAAATGTAAATCAATCAATCAATCAATCAAGCAACAGGTCAATATGTTACCTTTAAATCTTGAGAGAAATTTATACAATGAGTAATAATCCTTGCATTCGATACGGCGCTTTTCATGTTTTCGAGACGTCTCAAAGCGCTGCACAGAATACGCTGTAAAGTGAATTGACTGTATATTTGTGGGCGAAACGCAATATCCTCTGTTTCTCCTTCCGCACATCTACTACCTTCAAGCGAAAGCTGCAGAGATACCATCAGTACAGTTACATTGAGTGGATGATGGGACATATCTGTTCCTGTCGGGCGGAGAAATTACTGTCCAAGTGATCATTCCTTTCCCAATTCTTAAGGTTGCACTGTCAGTAAGTAGTTTCGTGCTCCATCTACTGGTTAGGGTTGTAATTGGGAAACATTTGCCCAGCAAAGTCAGGCAGTATTTAATCAGACCAAAAACATTCTCCCCTTTTAATATACCTTATTGCGTCGGTGAGACTTCCCGAAGCGCCTCACAGAATGTCCAGTGAAGTGAATTGACTGTGTGCTTTGTGGGCGCAACGCGGCAGCCGATTCCACACGGCAGCGTCCCACAACCGGTCGTGGATTGAGTGACCAAGTTATTATTTTTTGTGGGAGGGATTATTTAAAATCTCTTGGGGTCGGGAATTCACTCACTGAGAATCCATATTTCGCTGTTAGAACTGGTAGCAGGCGTTGCGTTCAGCGACTTAATATCAAAACGTAAGTACTTTTATTATTCAAAGGCGCATGACTTAAACAGTTAACTTTTGCCTTCATCAGGACCTACTCACCAAAATACGTATCTCCTGCAGAGCAAAGAGATTTAAAGTCAGAAGACGTATGTTTTTTTCAAGCATAACCGTGTTACCAGAAAGGACAGAACAAAACAAAGCTATCAATCGTTACCAAATTAAATAATACTTTCACAAACGACAGACGAAAGATCTGGAAGCCCAGTCTTTTAAGAAGCCAACCGTGTTGCTGGTGTTCAGGGGCTGGAGATTGTGAACACACTGCTTTTCGACCGAATCGTACTGGCGTTGGATTGAAACGGCTACGTTTCCTAAAGTGCCAATGACTTATTATGGGAAGAGAAAAAGCTTTTAACGACTCTCGTTCCTCGAGTCTTGCCAGGCTCACAGTGAAATTAAGCCAGGATTATGTTGAAGACAAAAGTGCCTTCTATTTGAGCTGTAAAATGTCTAATTGCACGGAAATAAACACTGACGAGCGGATGTGTTCAATGAGGATACACCTCCCTGGTACATCTGTTTCACGAGGTTGAATGAACCTCTTAGGATGTTGTGAACTAAATTCTTTTATTGGACATCCACCTTCTAAGGGCCCTGAGAAGAAGCCACACTTCTGTGCTTGCCATTGTCCTTTTCAAAAAAAAATCCACAAATAAAATGGTGTGTTGCCTGCTTTTAGTAATTGGGTTAGGAAATATAAAGTCAGTTCAGCTCCACAGGTGCATGTCGTCTTGACTATGTGGCCATTCATGACCAAGCTCAGACAGCGAGCGGCAGTCGGCTGTTCAACCATGAAGTGGGAACAGGGGAGGATAGGGGAAAATCAGACGACATAATAACTAATTAATTTTTTCAATTTATAAGAATCCGACATGCAAATGGACGGCAGCTGATACATGCAATTGATTTTGAAAGTTAGTTGGTACTTTTAACTCTGTCCGTTACTGAATAATTACGTTGTGCCTAATTACTGTATTACTGATGATACAAAGCAAAAGATTTTTGGAACTCATATGTCAGCCTCTTTGGTGGGAGAGGGAGGTCACTGAAAGAATGAGAAGAGCCCTTCAGTGAAGGTTTAACATTCAAATGAAAAAGTGTTAAAGGTTAAGGGTGTGGAATCTTTGGAGGGTATAATAGGCACTTTCCACTCAAAATGCTTCCTAAATTGCCTAATCTTTCAAGCCTGTGCAATTTGGGGATATTAAAGATGAAAGGTTTTACTGAATTGGATTTGAATCAATGGTTTATTCTTCATTTTGTTACTTAAGCTCATTAGTCGGGATATTATTTCACTCCTGAGTGGAGCGTAATATTATTTTAAACGTTGCAGGATTTGACAGACTCAGCTTGAACCCACAAGCTTGATTCAGAGGTGAACTGCTACCGATTGAGCACCTAAGTTGCCAAATTTTATAGGTGCCATTTTATAAGGACCCTGCATTTTTATCACAACTTATCACCTCAAAATATCCTACAGTGTGTTTTAGTATTTACTGCAATGATTGTTTCTGAAGCCAAATGCAGCAGATATGTTGTCCTGTAAACGGCCATGAGATGAATGACCAATTGATTCAGAGGAGGGATGGCAAGATCACTGGGAGAAACTCCCTCTGCTTTTCAAATAGATGTAGTGTCACGGGAACTTCAACGAACAACTTGAATTTATATAGCGCTCCTCACGCAGGGCAGTGTCCTAAGTTTCCTTATTCCACACGGCTGTTTATCTCGCTGTAAAAATAGGAACCTGATTGTTAGCAGTGGATTGGCAGATTGATTTCTGGGGGTGATAATCCCTCAAAAAAAAACGGATCATTCGTGGGACACTGCTGTGCGAATTCTGCATTTCGCCCACAAATATTGTTAATTGACTTTACAGTACATTTTGTGAAAGCGCTTTGAGCCGTTTAGAAGACCTGAAAAGCGCTCTATCAAATGCAAGGATTAGTATTATTATTATGACCGTGTTGCCACCAAATAAGCCTCCCAGAATGACTGTAAAGGTCCTGCAGGTTGTTCTGATGTTTTTAGTCACTGTCGTATACCGTCTGAATCAGTTATTCCTGTGGGTCCATTTATAGTGCAGTTGAAGTTTACTGGAGGTGTGGTACACTTCTGGTGTGTAGCATGTGAGCTCAGAAAGCCTCTTAGCTGTCCCGTCATCCACTGGAAACGATCATGAGGGTGATTGCTGGTTTCCTGCATCCCATCTCCCACTCTTTGTGAAAGGCTCTGTATGCAAGTGTAAGTTGTTGATGCAATGAATGTTCTTAATTTGTTTATTAGCTACATGAGTGGTTTTGTGAGACATGGCTTTAGCTATCTAACTCTATAAAATCCAATACACACCTTGGGAGATTTTTCACCCCTGGCAGGTTCGGGCAATTACTTTATACCAGTGCGAGTTTTGCAATTTGTCTGATAGATATCATCTGGTTCACAAAGCCGCCTGTGTCACTGGCAGGAGTTTCTCCTTTCAGAACCAGTCAACAATAAAGCGGTGGGGGAGGAGAGTAAGGGCAACAGAAAAAGACCAACAGAGACAAAAAGAAGAGGCAGATGTAGATAGGAAATGGAGCCTTTCAGAGAAAGACTTTAACAGTGAAAGACAGAGGAGACCCACTGTGAAAACTGATGCCTCAACAGAGAAACGGAAAGGACAGATGAGAAATCATCCTTTAGGCACATAAATTAATATATATTTGGTGTACATACTACTTTTCCAAGGTCTGTGCACCTGGTAGCATTTAGAAACACAAAATACTGTATTTTTTTAAAAAAAAGTAATCAGAATAACTTTGTTATACGATAAAGCAACAAGTGTCACATTATATTCTAAACGGCATAAAAGCAGCATCTACAAACAAGTCCTTAGTTCTGTGAGCTGAAGGCAGCCTGCAGTGTGGACCGTGTGAAAAGCAAAGTTATTTCTTACATTTGATTATAGCACCTAAAACGTTGAAACATCTCAAAAGCTTTTCTACATCTAGATCTTAAAGTGGGTTTTGAAGGCAGAGGAACAGGGCAGAAATTGGCTACCATGTGCTCACCCGCAAATACACAAGTCACAACACTTCACAGTAAAATCATGTGAAGCGCTTTGAGCCGTCTCAATGACGTAAGGAGTTCCTGAAGCTCAATGGTTAGAGCACTCGCATCGTAAGCGAGAGACCTGGATTCTATGCAGGGTGAAATGTTGAGCAAGTTTCCTTACTCCACACGCCTGTTTACCTAGCATTAAGCAGCTGTGAGTCGATTGGCGGATCGCTTTTCCGGGGATAGTAATCCTTCAAAATAAAACCAATATCATTTGGTCGCTTCAATCCATGACTGTTTGTGGGACACTGCTGTACGCAATTGGCTGCCACATTTCACCCACAAATATAGTCAATTCACTTTACAGTATATTCTGTGAAGCGCTTTGAGACGTCTAGATGACGTGAAAAATGCTATATCAAATGCAAGGATTATTATTATTATCATAAGGCACTGTAGCAAATGCAATTATTATGCAAGCTGCTGTTCAAGGTTTACCTTCTGTACCCCATTAGCATCTTCTATATCTCTGTAAGATCCCCTCTGAGAATTATTTTTTCAAGGCTGACGAGCTTTAGCATATCCAATCATTCCAAACAATAACAGTCATTCATATTGCTCTTCTCTGCGCTATGAGAGGCCTGGGGAGAAACACTGTATACCACACCAAGCTGCATCCAATGTGGCCTAACTGTACAGCGTGAGCACAACATCTGGTGATCTGGACTCAAGTCAATGTAATGCAGCCAATTAAATATTTGTGACAACACGACCTGAACACATGAGGAAACACTAAATGGTTCTGTATGCCAAGAGTTGCACGGATTTACGAGGGAAGAGAGATCACTTTAGGCTGTTAGTGATTATAGTCGTAATCACTTCCCAGGATCTGTTAAAAGATGCACCGAGAAGGTTTTGGAAAGCTTTTCACTTACTTTTGGTGCCATTTGTAATATAAACTTACACCCACAAAATATAGTCACTTTACAGTATAGTCACTTTACAGTATATTTCTTGAAGGAGATTTGAGACATCTCCAGGACGCTACCCCACGTGAAGGGTGCTATATATTTACTCGTTGTCTTGAATACGTGATAATGAGCCTATATCAAATGCAAGAATTATTATTTTAAACTGACATTATGTAACGTCTGTTAACACAAGTAGTCTCAACTTAAAGCAAGAATAAAAAAAACTTTGAATGCACATTATCAGACTGAGAATATTTCTGTGGAAAATGGAAGCAAGTGTGTAGTAAATGAACTTAGAAATCAAAATGATTTAGGATTTAAGATTTAATGAAAAAGCTTTTTAATATTCATGAATAGTCAAAAATCAACTTTCAAACCTCAACATTACAATACAAGTAAACACGTTTCCTTAGGTCTTTTTCGTCACTATGTATCAGCAATAAATGCATATTAAAATACCACCACCAAAATAACATTACCATTTATTATAACATGATATAAAACAGAACATGATATGAACATTGCATATTAACAATTGTAAGTTGCATCATAATTACAGGCTCTGCTCATTGTATGCTATGTACACAATGAACATAATTACATTTTGTACACGCAATGGGGTACGGGATATGTAGCCCTCTACATATTGCTTTGCACTTGGCTAGAGTGGAGTTGCATCGAAATGCTGCACAAAGCCTTATGAAAAGTTTGCTTAGGGCAGGAAATGTAGGAAACTACTGTACATAGTGACATTCTTATATGTGCTGAGAGCAGTCTGGCGATAACTGCAGACATTACAACATAAAGTATAAATAGTTACAGCAGAATTTACTAAGTAACAGCAATAATTTGTGCCAATACAATGGCACTATGTTCATCGAATGTAGTAAGAAAACAAATTGAAAGCCAAATCCTATTGTATACATAAAACATTAGTGAACTCTTTCACGAAAGATAGGGTCACAGTTACTGATTGAACTAAAATGCAGGCGTAAAATAAAAGAATTCAAACTACAAGCAAAATACTGACAAATATTCATTAAACAAAAATAAAACCCTAATTGTCATATTATGCTAATGTACCGTGATTTCTTTACATATGAACTTAAAAAGAGTAATTTTTTAAAAAAAACTGCCATGGAGCAATCACTCTCCCGAAATACACAATTTTTAAATATCGGCATTGTATCCAACATAAAGGTATTTCCTATAAGGAGTGTTTTAATAGTGTGAGTCAAGTGTTGCTGCCAGCACTTGTGTGAATTCTTGTGCTCTGGTGCACTCCATTTCCATATACAGTAGCTGGCTTTTGCCTGTAGTCCCACAGTACTTCCAAACGTTGTGAAATGTCTTCAACCCTCAGCCTTGTGTCGACGAGAAAGAATTACCTGTGGCTAGCATCGGAGCTGCATTGTGAAAAACAACATTTTATTTTTTCTTTCCTCAAACTTAAGTCGGCTAATTATAAGAGAATGTGATCGTCTTTGTGGCCAACTGGGAAAGCAACATGGATATCATATAGGTCTACAATGAAAACCATAGCCGTGTGATAGATAGCTGGTTCTTTTCTGAATAGTCCTTTTTTTTTAAAATTGATTAATTCTATCTGCTTTCAGCAATACGGCCAGGACACAAAACAGCTAGATTATCCCATCATACATCAGTTACGAACACCAGAAAAACCTACATTTAACAATATGTAGGAAGGTGATAAACTAATCCGGTGGCTGGAAGATGATAATGTTTTGATTTCCAACAATTATTTCAGTCAAAAAGACAACATAACATTTCCAGGTTATGGAGGGAGTGGGTGGGCCAGATGAATGGAGTTAGTTGGGGCTGGATGTGGCCTTTGGGCCACAAGTTAGACCACTCTGACTTAACAATGACATAAATTAATAAAAAAAACGAAAACTGGAAATGGAATGTAAATAAACGATTGGAAGATGACAAAACTTGAAATAAAAGCTTACTTTTTGTAATCATACACACATAAAGTGGGATCCTTCTGTGAGCTGGGGATGTGGGGAAGATTGCGATGTTGTGGATTGAGATGGAGAAGATGATTTTTCTGCAAAGAACAGCGAGTACGATTAAAAAAAGGTAAATTAAAGGCAGACACTCAAATCTCACTCAAAAGCTGACATAATATATAACGTTGACAAACAGTAATGTTACATTTTGAAACAATACGGCCACACACAAAATGATTCAGATTTCTGGGACAAAACATCAAATCAGTCTGGTATTACCATTGCTCATTCACAAAGATCATCCACAAAATATACAGTCAATTCATTTTACAGTACATTCTGTAAAGCGCTTTGAGACGTCTCGAAGGAGTGATAAGGCGCTACATAAAATGCAAGGATTATTATTATTACCTGTGTGGTGGTAACTGTCAGGTGCGGGAAGATTTTAATAGACACTGATGAGAAGTTTAATCAATAAACCAAATTCTACATTTATGTATGTTATCACTCAACTTAGTAACTGGATCTCATAAAATATATATTTTATTTCATAATGGATAATTATTCTATATGGATGCTGACTCCCAGTTGTAAAGACATCAAATCAAGTTTAAACACCTTTTGGAATAAATCTCCACTTGAATTGGAATTAAGCCTTACGACCCTTTAAAAAATTTTAAATTTTTTTTAATGTATTAAAATAACTTCATTGCCATCAAAAAATTCAATTAATCAAAAGGATAACCTGCCTCTGGCGCTAACCAATACATCAGACAAACACGCAATTCCATGTGCCAATCAATGGTACCTTTGTGGATGGCGAGCACAGGAATGCCTGAGGCAGGGCCTTAACTATCAGAATGATGTCAGGGCAGTAAGAGAACAAACAGCTCATAAATTCGACTTGGGCTTGAAATAATTTATATTGGAGTGCAGGAAAATACCTTACTTATATGCGTTTATTCAATGTTCAGCGATTGATGGGTAATTTGCATTTAAACATCTACATTCATAGCACAGAGTTTAACAATAACAACGAATTTACGTTTAAATCGTGCCTTTCGGGTGGGCGTCCCAAGGGAATGACAGTCCAGGCACCTGAGCCTGACCTTCGATAGTGAGGCAGGTATGTTCGTGTGTGGAACTTAATTTGTAGAGATAGGTTTGGCTGACGCACGTAAATAGAATGCAACAGTCCAAAATAATTTGACTATTTCACTGTAAACTGCTGTAACACTGTAATGCTGTACTGGTAGAAATAAAAGGATCACATTTTTTACGAAGATGTTAATATGAAGGAATATATCGAGCCAATCAACGGGGAAAAAAGAAAATTGTCATCAAAATGCAAACTGGAATATATATCCACAAATAGATTAATATATAAAATGTAATATATCCACAAATCTTACAATTTTCGCACATTCGCTTTCGAAAAGTCTCAAAGTGCTTAAGAGTTTACCGCAAAGTAAAATGACTATGTGTAGGATATTTGGCAAAATAATCAATATCAGATAGTTTGGAATGAAGTATCTTCCACAGTGAGAGCTTGGGGGAATCAAAAGTTTACCGTCAAAGGATAGAAGCTACATGCACACAGCTGCTGTCAAAAATTTGCCATAATTTATCCACGTTTGTCAATTTGAATCAGGGAATCAAAATGTATAGTCTGGAAAATGAAAGCTATGGGCACGAGGGGAGTCATTTTCTGAAGAGGAGATTGTCAGGGTCATGGGCCAGGAGCTCGCCAATGCATCATGTCCAAGCTGTACTTGGCCTGGAAAGGTTTGATGCTGTCAGAGTGGATCGAAAAATACTTCAATCCACTGTTAATCTCCACCATGAGCAGAAATGCACACACACAAACTGAAGAAATGAAGTAACTGATGGCCATCAACTTCATTAAATGAACTAAGAAGAAACTGAATCAATACTTTCAAAGTAAATAATCCCTGGTAATAACTTGTCTTTTCCATCAGATCTGTAAATAGGCTACACATATAGTTGAACCGTGCACAAAAGGTTGTTTTATCAGGACTCTTAAAACGATTCTGTCTCTCACAATATCACCACAGACCTACATATATTTAGGTCATAGCAATTGCAGTCTCTGCTAAAACCAGGTGAAGACCACAAACACAGCCCAGGTAGTGGAGCGTGAGAAAATGGTTAGTTATAAATATCGAAGTGTATATCAAATTAGCTCTCAGAACAACTTACTGAGTTTTTTTTTAAAAAAGTGTTTTGAAAGGTAATAGTCTTAATTAGGATTTAGTTTCACTATGTTCTATACATTTTCAGTACAATGAAACCACAAGTACTGTTGCTTTAGCACAGCTGCATGCACGATAGAGTAAAACTACAGCTATTTTCATCTACTTGGTGCTGCTGTAATTTTCTGTGGTTAGTTTTTCCTACCTGCTGCAAAGATGCTTCTTTTTGTTGCCTCTGTGGCTAATTCATATGAAATATTAATCTTGTCTTGCTCCTGAACATCATCCTCCTCCACACTGTTCTCAGTTTTGTGGTTGGTGACTGGGATAACACTCTGTAGGCTTGGAGGGAAAGAAGTATGAAAATCTCATCGTTAAATTAAGTTAGACTTTTCTACGTGAATATTTTTACCTGGATATTGAAGAGCTTGAATATTGGAGAGAACACAATTTGCCACTTACAAATCTCACCACTGTAATATTTTACTTAATTCAACAAATCTCTGTGAAATGAAAGTATCTTTCATTTTTTTTCCATGAAGGATTAAAGGATTAAAAACCAAGGATTTTTCTTTCACAAAAGGTTTTTCCCCAATGTGTATGTTTCAAGTTTGTTATGTGTAATATGCAGTAATAATAAGCAATGAAACATTGCCAGGCAAGTGACGGTGGGATCTGGAGTTTATCAAAGGATCTCATAAAGAAACCTAAATGAATAACAAGTAAAAGAATGTCACAATCCCACTATTATTCACTGTATTTGACATAGTGAACCTTACATAAGTCATAGGGTAGGGACTGAACATTTAATGTGGCTTATGCAAAGTATGAGTTATGTCAAACTTGCATAGAATATAGTCTTAAACGGGGCTTGGGCAGATCTAAGACTTAGGCAATTATATGATTTAAACAGATCAGACTTTTACCGTAATAAGCATGAATTTATTTACTTAAAGAGGAACTAAAGATTAGAAGACCGCTTTTAGTTTAAAGCATTTCCTCTAGAAAAATAAGAAAAATAACTGAAGTGAAATTCTCACTTGAAGGCATTCACTGGAACCCGCTTCCTTCTGAACCAGGATGTTCTGAGTCATAGCAACTCCACTGCTTTAGTGAGTTTATAGACTGGACTGAGTGCTGATGGGGAGCTAGCCCAAATCCTGGCAACATCCGGTACCGAGTAGGTAGCAATGCCCAGCGAATACTGAACTCTAGGAAGTTTCAAATAGGCTCAGAGGGCACGCCAATTCCTCCAGGACTATACGTAATGTGCAATTAATCCAACAGGATTCATGTCCTGGATAGCTGTCTCAAAGAAGAATTATTTAAAACATTTTCATTTATGTTATTTAAGGGAGTACTTTAAAAAGAGAGGAATCAGTCCAAACTTTGAAAGCTACAGTACACTGAGTTGAGTCGATTAGACCTATATTCTCTAGAATATAAAAGAATTAGAGGTGATCTTATAGAAACCTATAAGATTCTTAAGGGTCTTGACAGGGTAGAGAGTGGGAGACTGCTTCCCCTGGTTGGAGAATCTAAAACTAGATAGTCTCAGGATTAAAGGTCAGCCCTTTAGCACTGAGTTGAAAAAACATTTCTTCACTCAGAGGGTAGTGAATTTATGGAATTCTCTACCCCAGAGGCTGTGGATGCTCAGTCCTTGAACATATTCAAGACTGAGATTGATAGATTTTTTTAAAACTAAAGGGATTCAGGGACATGGGATAGGGCAGGTAAATGGAAATAGGTTAGAAGATCAGCCATGATCTTGTTAAATGGCGGGGCAGGCTCGAGGGGCCGAATGGCCTATTCCTGCTCCTATTTCTTATGTTCTATACTGAAACTACAGTAAAGCTATACTGTACCGTAGTTATTAAAAGTCTGACTGATAGACTGGACTGATACTGTAGCTGTGAGTGACTGTGCCATTTCTACTACCCACGTGGAAGAATGGGTGAAGCCATTGCTTCTGTATATTCTGGTGTGGCAGCACGACTTGCCGAGTGAGCACCTCAGACTGTTTGAACTGAATTGGATAGAGAATCTAACATAAACAGTTTTATGATGACACTGAGTATTGCATACCAAAGTACACTATCCTCACATCACCAATACAGTATTCATATTAGAGGAAGTGCCACAGATACATAGAATGTTCTAAAGTTTTTGGTATATTGGAAAGTATAATTAAAAAAAATATTCTTTCACTTTCAATATTATGGACAGAAGTGTTACCTGTTTTTGTCAATGCTGTCTTTAATTCTGTCAACATTCTGCTCCTTCTTTGGAGTTTCATTGGGATCTGATATTTCAGATTCATCCTCTATGCACCTTTGAAACTTGAGAATATGACCCCGTTTTGAAATCTGTGGAATTATAAAACAAAGACCAAGTTAAGAATGACAAAATGTTTTGTGTCAAACATTGTCTTGTATTGGCTACATGTTGAAATTATGCAAGAATCTGAAATATGAAAAGATTTTCATCCATCCCTCATGCAACTAGTAATCATATTAAAACCTATTCAAATACAAGTTTTAGTGTACCTGTAAGAAATTTCTGAAGCAATTAACATATCAGTTCAATATACATATCCCAGCTAATTTACTATGGAGTAAATTTACCTTATGCTGTGTTAAACAACCTTGAGAGCAAAAATATTGATCAGATCGCAAAGCGCTTCACAAAATATACTGTAAAGTGAATTGACTGTGTATTTTGTGGGTGAAAATGCAGCAGCCAATTGCGCACAGCAGCGTCCCACAAACAGTTATGAACTGAGTGAACAAATTTTTTCTCTGAAGGGATTATTACCCCCGGAAAGCAATCCACCAAATGAAGGAGGAGTGAGCCTAACGCAATTTGTATTCCCCACGTTTAGCTGTTCTCACCTCTTTGTCGGCGTGCACCTTATACTGATCTGGCTCAGCATCCTCTTCTTTTAAACGGGCTATTTCTTCTGCCGCAGTTTCTCGAGGTTGTTCAGAATCATCTTCTCGAACTGCAGCTTCCAGCTCCTTGATATTACATTCTACTGTTCTGCTTCTGCGAACCTGAATTAGTAGGCATTGTTCAGTCACTAGTTTAAAACAAAAACCAATGTAATATTTTTGCTGCATGGTTTGCTGGGTTTGGTAAGAAACAATTCTGGTGCGGTGTAGATTTAAAAAAAAGGCTATAATAGAAGTAAATGGGATTCTAGATTTTAGAGGTAAGGTATTTGATAAAGAAAGTGATTAAATATATACAAGACAGTGCTCAGGAATTACTGCTTGTAATTCTAGGCATCCCATTACAAAATGAATATCAGAATCAACGTCATAAAAAGCCTCAGAGTAGGAATGGGGTGTCTCGGTAAAAGATCTGCTTTCTTTGGAACAGAGACAGTTAATAAGGGATATCTATAATAGGTGTTCAAAATTCTGGAGGATTTTAATAAGATAATGAAAGATTATCCCCGCTGCTTAGTATACAGTCACTAGGGGGCATAATCTCAGGATTTCCACTGGAACGGTTAACAGCGAAGAAAGAACTTTTTCATGCAGAGAGTTGTTAGAACTTCGAATGCTTTGCCACGAATGGCTATTTTAAAGATTTAAAAGGGAATTAGATAAAACATTTGAAGAACAATCTGCAAAGGGTAAAGGACAGGGAACTGGAATTGAAGTTAGCTCCAGTGGAGGTGCACAGTGGATCAAATGACTTCTTCTCTGCTGTCATGTCCATGGCAATTGCTGGATACAAATGTGATAATCATTTGCCAAGTTATCCAAATCTTCCTGGAATACTAATATCTTAAAATCCTCCTGTATCACAATCTGTACACAAATAAGGTAGGCAGGTGATTTACTCTCAGGCCTCATTAAGACTACCTGCTAGTGGATGATAATGTGTGGCCTGGGATAAGGCTTTGCCAATTTTCCTCTCCCTTCAACTTAATGCCTCATCTCAACCCTTCTACTTTTCCTGGGAACTTGACTGGCATAATAACTAACTGTGCGTGTAAGTGATCAGCAGGAAAAAAACCAAACTCTTTTGTGAATGGAATGGTAAATGTGCAAAATAAAGTCTCCAAAAGCAATCTGTGAATTAACTGCGAAACATAACAAATCTGAAAAGTGCAGTGTTGGGAGAAATTAGTGAGTGACCTTTACTGAGAAAGTCATTGTATTACGGTAAAAAGTGACTGAGAATATTTGAGTGATGCATCAGTAAGGGAAATATTCAAAGACAAACTTGTGTTTTTTTGTGTTTAAAAAAAGAGAAACGTAGGCTGAATCTATATTGAATTTGATGAGAAAATTCATGAGAAATCATTGAGATTCACCACAAATATGCTGCGTAAACTGGGGTGAAGCATTACAAAGTAAGCTGGAGTTGCCTGTTTCAGCAATACTCTGATATGCCCCACTGCAGTCTAAATATAATGTTTATTCATTAAATGTGCTCAGTTTCCCATAATTTCTTGAACTCTCTAGATTTTTTGAACAGTTAGTCATGCTGTCAGGATTTAAATAATATTAAAAATAATTAATGTTCAAATCCAGAGAACTGTGAAAACATGGATTTCCAAAATTGGATTTCAGGATTTTTTCAAATGGCTTTGAAGCAATGCGAGCAAGAGATTTAGCCAAGTTCTCCCTCTTAATGTTGCTTTGCTGTTATTCTCATGAAAAAAAGCATTACATCTGCAGAGTTTGCAGGAAAGTTATTCAATTATAACATTTTTATACTCGAAGTTTGTCTTGTTGAGCTCTTACAAATGAAAGCAATCTATATAAAGTGAAATGCAATGCAAATTTCATCTGATCTGGCTATAGCTAATGCAGAACAGATAAAATCAGTAGGTTTTGTGTCAGTGGTATTCAAATAAAAAACAATGAATTAGGACCTCCCAGATCTTCCATCTCATGCACTGACTTAACAGTAAATAATCTTAATACTTTTTGCCAAAGAAAAATATTTTGATATGAATTAATGATTTTGCTCTGTTCTTACCAGCTGCAAATAATATTAATAAAGAATAGTTTATCCTCTCCCCACCTGATCACTCCGTGAATGTTTCTCCTCATCTCCTCTTTCATCATGAAAATAAAGGCTATGAAACTTACAGAATACTTCTCTGCGGGGTTAGTTGGTTTGGCCTGGAAATTTTCTCTCGACTGACTCCTGGATGGTGACTGATCTTGCACTGCTATCAAATTCAATCCTTTCCTTTTCTCTTTCAGAGAAGCTTGCTGGTGACGTTTTATTCTTTCAAGTTGCTCCTCTATGCTCATTCGAGGACGTGGACTTTCTGCAAGGAAAAGCTGGTCCACTGCACTTTTTGGCCTCTCCTGTAATAATAATACTCTTCTAGATAACCCGATCTGACTTTTTTTAAAAATAAACAATTAAATCCATGGTTTCCAGTAGATGGAGTTTATGACTATCTCTTCTCCACTGTTGCATTGAGAGTCACTGGGGTCAATTTTAATACTAGTGTGGTTAACTGCTGGTCAGGTTTTCATCAATTAAATGGCCCTGCGGTTGATAGTCAGTCCCATTTGGTGAACTACAGGTTCTCAGGGAGCTATTTTTTCCGTGTTCTTATTAAACAAATTCATTAACAAAACCACAAGTTATATGTATAATTTTCGGTTTCATGAATTCAGTAAGGCGGTTATAATGGATATATAATCTCTTAATAATTAATACCCGACCAAGTCTAGAGAATCAGGTGATGCTCAATATGTATCAGAGGTGTTAGCTTGGCTGTTAATAACACTCTTGCTATGGTCAGAAGGTTGTGGATTCAAGCCCCCAAGTCAGGGTTTAAGATCATAATTCAGGATGACATTGCAGTGTAATTCTGGGGGAATTCGCAGCATTGCGAAGGTGACATCTTTTGGATTAGACAATAAACCGAGGTCCTATTTTCCTGGTTTGGTTGTTTAAAGATCACACTGTTCGAAAAGAGAAGGGAGTTTCTCAACAACAACAGCTTGGATTTATATAGTGCCCTCCACGCCGAATGGCGTCTCAGAGCGCTTTACAGTTTAGGATCCTGGGGCCGAGCTGGGGGGGGAGGGGGAGCCAGGGGGAGGCGGGGAGGAGGAAGGTGACCAAAGGCGCGGTCGAAAAGAAAGGTCTTCAGCAGGGACCTGAAAATGGGAAGGGAGGGACTGAGACGAAGGCAGTGAGGAAGGGAGATCCAGAGCCTCGGGACATAGTGGCTGAAGACACGGCCGCCGAGGGTGGAGCGGAGGACTCGGTGGACAAGGAGGAGGCCAGTCCCGGAGGAACGAAGGCAACGGGTACTGTGCTGAGGAGAGAGGAGGTCAGAGAGGTCGGGGGGTGAAGAGGAGTGCAGGAACTTGAATACGAGGGTGAGGATCTTGAAATCGATCCTCTCTGGGATAGGCAGCCAGTGCAGTCTGGCAAGGACTGGGGTGATCGGGGAGCGGGGTTTGGTGCGGGTGAGAATGCGGGCGGCAGAGTTCTAAATGAGTTGGATTTTATGGATGGTAGTGGATAGGAGACCAGTGAGGAGGGCGTTTGAATAGTCCAGCTGCGAGGTGACAAAGACATGGACCAGAGTTTCAGCGGCTTTGGAGGAGTGGTATTTGCGGAGACGGGTGATACGTCGGAGGTGGAAGAAGGCAGAGCTGGTGAGGAACCGGATGTGGGGGAGAAAGGATAATTGGGTGTCGAACCTGACGCCTAGGTTGCGTATGGGTTCGGAGAGTTTTAAGGGAAGTCGGGTAGGTGGAGGAGGTGAGAGCCGTGAGAATTTAGACGTTGATGAGAGCCGAAGAGTATGGCTTCCGTCTTGTCAACGTTCAGCTGAAGGAAGTTTGCGCTCATCCAACCCCTGAGATCTGACAGGCAGCTGACAAAACATCAGGGGACTGGGGGTCACAAAGAGAGGTGGAAAAATAGAGTTGGGTGTCATGTGCATACATGTGGAAATGTACCCCATGCCTGTGGATGACATCCCCAAGAGGGAGCGTGTTCTCCCAGTGTCTTGACCAACGACCTCTAAATCAACCATTGACTTCAAGATTGTTTTTGTGGAATTTGCTATGCACAAATCTGCTGTTATTTGCCAACAAATACACAGTCATGACACTTGACAATTACCTTTGCGACTCTTCGAGGTTATAACAGCAACAACTTTCATTTATATATCGCCCCTCACGCAGGGTACCGTTCCAGAGCGCTTATAAGTGCTATGTCAAATACAAGGATTATTATGATGCACTTATTCAGAAATGTTTACATTGTTTATTTTCTTTGGAGACAAATATACAACCGTAAAAAAGTTAGAAAATTATCAATGAATAATATTAAATTGTGTGATTTATAGTTCAAAATCATGCCACACTTTAGGTCATACCACACAGTACATACCATATAAGGAGTGGTTCCATCCATCTTTCTGTGTTTCCTTAATGTAACATAAGAAGCAATAGTGGCAGATTCAGGCATTGGTGATTTGGTTCGAGGAGGAACTATACCGACTGGAAAAGACATACCTGGAAAAATTATAAAAGCATAATTAATTGAGATTACCCTTTCTGTTGAAGCATTCAAAGACCAGCTCCTGTGTTACCCATAAAGTATTCATACTCTAGTATTTATCAACCTGAACATTTTTAATGCGGACTAAGCACAGAACTAAAGGACAGGGAAATGTTAACAGGCCATGAATTAAGCCTACAGATTACAAATAATTACCCTCCCTCCAGTAATGGGTATCTGGAACAGAACAAATTTGAGAACTATATTGTTCAGGTTTATTATTGTAATAATCTATGCTATATAAACACAAGTTGTAGTAATTGTAAACATTAACTAAACCTAGGTTTAGAAACTTTACCTCTACTTGCCATATCTTTCTTATTTGCTTTATTTTGTTCTACTTCCCTATTCTCCGCTTTATATACATTTTAAATTATTTCTGCAATTTTCTATCTATAAATTTGGGATAATTTAAAAACCTGTGGCCTTGGGCTCTTTAATCCAAGTTTAATTATGAACTGACTCCCTGTTGTTAAACTTGTTTTTTCATTGTCTGAAAACATTGTTGCAGGCCAATAAAAAACTGAAAGACTCCTGGATCAGCAGAACAGCATCATGGATTCTATCAAACATTTGAGACAAATCAGAAAGTGGGAGTCACAAACCAGTAACTCTATCCACACTGCCCCAAGGGCTTAAAGTGAAGTCCGTAACGTGTCCACGGTATTTGGAAGTAGCAGGACCTCATAGATCAAATCACCCTTTCTTGTTCAATGTTTTACTTCAAGCTCTTATTTTCCTAAACCCTACTGTATCATATTGAGTCATTTCCTACCACAGTCGGGTTAACAAGATGGTGTGGTAACAATTGTGACTAATGATAAGAGTATCAATAATGAAAGCCAATAGCAAACTGTGCGGTTTTAGCTGCTTAGATTCCGACAGTTACCCCAATGCAAACTCAGGTCTCCAAGCCCGAGCTCTCAGTTACGCCTCCCCCCGACACACACCGGGGTCCCCAAGCTCTTGCCAACCTGCACTTAATACTTTCTGGAATAAGGTAAATAATATGTGTCCTTCCAGAGAGAGAGAGCGCATTCCATTCCAACAAAAATCTCTGGGATTTCCATGTGTAGGTGGGCCGCATGGAATTCTCAGCTTGGTTTGGAGACTCTTAAGCAACGGTGATGGGTTTCCGCCTGTGTCAGACACCCACCCGGCTGACCAAAAAAAATGAAACCCAAAGTGCTTTGCCAATGTATGAAATCAGTTTGTACTGTGGAGGTGGAGTTACTGAGGCACGACATGACAGATTTATGGTAAACTGTGAATTTACAGGCAGACTTTCTGGTAATTTGAATATTTTATCATATGGTCTTGACTTTGGTTACGTAAGCAATGATAAAATACAGGATGTCTCCTATTGTAGCACTGACCTTTAGATGTTCCACTTTCTTTATCAATAACACCTTCTGACTTTTCATCCACATTTGACTCATCAACTTCTGTGACTGTTGTAAGCTCTGGTTCACTCTTGTAAAGTCGATAATCAGGGCCCTTCAGGTGCAAACAGCACTGATTAAATACAGTATTTGTCTCACAGTTTTGTTAAAACAATTTTTAAGAGTCAAACCAAATTAGTCTCCAGTTTGAAATAGTTTCTCATTAAATTCTATCCACTAATATAAATAAAATGTTTTAATAATAGAATCACAGGCTTAAATAAGTTACCATACATATAGAAGAAAACAGGAGATCTATTGCAAAGAACATAGGTACAAAACACTGCTAAAAACTGGGTTGTTAATTTATTTTTAAGGGGTTACTCTTGCTGAAATCTCAAGTGGATGAAATATTGGATAAATAGCCAGATTAGCACTAACTATTTCTGAATTCATTGTGAATACTACTACAAATAGCTAACTTTTAACTAACTAATGTTAAAGAACGATTGAAAGAAAGTCTTACACTGATATTAAAAGATTCCTTTGAAACTTTAATTTAAGAACCATCTTGCTGATTGATATCAGTAGTAACTCAATACAATAAGCTTAACAAAGGAGCTGCCTTGCCAAAATATAATTGACAAATATGGTGAGTTTTAATTTGGTAACATATGCAAAGGCTTTTTTTAATATCAAATTAGCATGCATTGAATTATAACCCCCAAAAGAAAATCTCAGAACGCTGATCATTTTAGCATAACGATCAGATACTTTAGATTTAAGCTAGAATTTTTTTACACCATCAATTCCCACCATTACTTCCCTTGCAGAATGTCATACAAAGAGTCCCAAACCACATTTATTCCTGGATAATTGCAGAGCCTGGGGTGGGTCATGCGAAGGCACATTATCCAAATCATAACACTTTCATTTCTAGCATTTAAGCGCATTAAGGCAAAAAAAAAACAATTGAAAGGCAGTTTCCATTTGGCATTGTTAGTTTTAAAGAGCATTCTATTTATGTCACAATTACGCAAGGCAACTTCTGTACAGTTATTTCATCATTAATGTGGCATATGAGCAATAAATCAAATTCTGAAAAATTAAATGAAATGTCAAAAGAAAATTGAACCAATTAAATTAAAACATGACATGAAGAAAAATAATGGGCGTAATGTAAAACAGGTTCGGGGAAAGAAAAAAAAATCAGGGCGAGGGGAAATGGTGTAAAGAAAATGTGGCAAACCAGCAATAGTCAGCCACTTACAGAATACGCTTCATTATTTGGATATTCCTGTTCAAGTTCAGTCTTCGTTTCATCTGGTGGATGTACCAGCTCTCCAGCAGAATAGGGCCAGAGGCTGCTCTCACTGGGAAGAGGGGGAACTGTGGGAGCCATCTCTGTCAAGTCATATAAGTGGGGGAGAGGAGGACGAGGAGGGGCTGCTCCCTCTTCCTAAAGAGTGCAAGATGCCCACCACATAGTAAATGCATTACAGATTTGAGATCCTTTCACTTTCCTCTTAATCGTATGGTTCATTTATAAAACATTTCATTATGATTATACTCCAGTGTTCATCAGAAAAATATATACAAAAAAAATGTTCACTGTAAAAAAAATGAAAACACATTCTTCATAACAATTCCCTTTTCCATCTTCACAAATAGCAATGGAAAATGAATGTGTTTCCTAAGAAAAACAACAGAGCTGTACTTATTGAAGTATCAGTCACCTTGTAAGACTGCATTAACCAGTATTAATCAGCAGACAATTATCAATATTATAGTGAAGTCTATTGACATTGTAACACCCTGAATATTAGTGACTCTTCGAGCAAATACTCACCTCATTCCTGTACTTCAGCACAGAGAAAGAATCAGACAGTGGCTCATAACCATCTGGAGGGAAAAAAAAGTCTTAAGATACTCTCCAGTAAAGAGGTGACATTTTAACCCTCAACCCTCCCCGATCCCAACCCCCAGCTTGGTCCGAAACACTGATTGTCCAGTGACTTGGGGCGTCCTCCCAACGTGAAAGACATTAGAAAATGTAATTTTGTTGTTGTAGGAAGCAATCTCTGTTGAACTGTGCATTTTTCAGTTGCATAAAACAATGCTAATTGCATTGCAGAAAAGGTTTGCTGTGCAGATGCTCAAATGATCAGGATCAAAGTGCAATGTAGTTTGCATCCTAGTTCTGACTGGCACTTTTAGCCACATCATTTTGAACACATGACTCAATGTGGCCCAAATAAAATTTCTTGAGACACCAAAGTCAAACCAGTCATATCATGCTGACCTTTCTAGATTTGCTGTTTTAAAAAAAATGAGCAACTGAAATGTCTTTCACAATCAGAAGAGCTTATGAACAAGGAATGAAATGAGGTATACTTGTTGCCGCAGAAATTCAAAAAACCGATATAACAAACTAATACTTATTCCTCCTTGATTTTCTCCTTTATTCTTTCTCTCCCTATTGCACAATCCACACACAGACACATTCACACCATTGTTCCAAGAATGATAAGATTCTGATCGATCAATGTTTATCTAAACAGCCATGAGGATATGCATAATTGCGGTCAGGGGACATTCTTCAGTTTTTCTACATGCTCACTCTCTTGTTCTTGACGCTAAGCCAAACAACAGAGTTAAGATCAAAAACTATGGGATGAGCATTTATAGCTATGAAAATGATTCTAATGTTCTGTTGGTACATCAGGCTCCTCCTGTGAATCAAGGTTAATACATTATTAAAATAGAAAAACTTGCATTTATGCAGTGCCTTTCACAGGAGGGAGCATCCCAGAGGGCTTACACTGATATTGAATAGGACAATACATTTCTGCATTATTGAAAATTAAGATTTTGTTTGAAAAAGTAAATGTAGTCAGTGTCTCACAGTGAAGCATTTTGTACATTTGATGAGTTCACAGGGAATGTGGGGAAAACGCACTTGTTTTCCTTCCTAACAATTTCTATTAAAAAGCAGTTATTATTCTCAGTCCTTGGTCATCATATCTTAACAGCTGCCAATCTAATTTACTCCACCAGTATTGTGAGCAGGAAGATCTACAGAGAAACCCAAATGTGTGTGAAATGTTGAGAAGGGAAGAATTGTATTTTATTGATTGTTACCTTCTAGTTTATTGGGTTCAATGAGAAACAAAAACAGTTGTTTTTCCACATTAATTTATTTAATATGGTAGCAGCACTTATCACAAAGAAACAAACAGGGCAACCTCCTTTGTTAAGGACCAGTAAAAATTGCACCAATTTTTTCACTCATTGCTTTTTAACAAAAAAAAACTTCTAGTTGCATTATTCAAAGTACTGGATTGAAATACACTGAATTAGTATTTCTTACCTGTATTTCCACTTGGGTCAAGGGAACTTCTTTGCTGTTTGTTTTTATTCAGTCCTTCCATTACATCTTGAATTCGCCACAGCTCTTTTTGGATTTGAGCATGTTGTTGTGCAGTTAACTCAGTCTTAAGAGAAAATAGAAATGCCAGTGATTATGACTATATGAAAACAGAAAGAGTTCTGGAATTTATAGCATTCATAGCAATTTAATTCTACGCCTCAAATCAGAATAGTGCTAATATTAAGCTATGATTTGAATAGTCCAGAGGGACTTGGGTGTCCTGTACGCCAATCACAGAAAGTTAGTCTGCAGGTGCAGCAGCAATTAGGAAGGCGAATGGTATGTTAGCATTCATTATGAAAGGTTTAGAGTATAAGAGTAGGGAAGTCTTGCTGCAACTGTACAGGGCCCTGATGAGACCACACCTGGAATACTGTGTGCAGTTTTGGTCTCCTTATTTAAGGAAGGATGTACTTGCCTTGGAGGGGGTGCAGCGTAGATTTATTAGGTTAGTACCAGAGATAAAGGGGATGAGTTACGAGGATAGGCTGACCAATTTGGGCCTATATTCTCTAGAATAAAGAATCAGAGGGGATCTTATAGAAACCTATATGATCATCAAAGGGCAATGATAGAGTAGATAGTGGGAGATTGTTTCCCTGGTTGGAGAAACTAAAACCAGGGGTTACAACCTTAAAATCAGAGACCAGCCCTTTCGCACTGAGTTGAGGAAGAACTTCTTCACTCAAAGGGCAGTGAATGTATGGAACTCATTACCCCAAAGGGCTGTTGACGCTCAGTCCTTGAACATATTCAAGACTGAGATAGATTTCTTATTGCAAAAGGTATTAAGGGATATAGGGATAAGGCAGGGTCAGGTTATTAGCTGGAGTTAGGTTAGAAGATCAGCCATGATTGAATGGCGGGGCAGGCTCGAAGGGCCGAATGGCCTACTCCTGCTCCTACATGTTATGTTATGAATACTTATCTTCAGTTTGCTGTTTAAAGTGATTTGAAATAAGTCATGTGAGCATAAAGTATAGTTAGGCAGTAAGGTATACTAACAAATAAAGTTTGTAAATAACAGCAAATCAATTCATTGTGAAATGCATTAAAAAGGCATTTTTTTTACACGTGAGGCATTAGATATTCGGTGCCAAAACTAGTCAGTACCTCAATTCCTTCAAGTCTGTCCAACTGCTCTTTTAACTGATTTTGTGCATAAGTAACATCATACTCTAATTTATCGTACTCGCTCCACCCCCTTTCCAGTTCCTGAAATCAATAAATACATAACTTTAAGTTTCATTACAAAAAAGGCAATGTCAATAGGTCTCAAGTTCATACCAATTCATTCTCTGTCCCCAAATTGGCCTGTAATCTGCGAGTCTGAGTATGAATGTGAATGCACCCAGGCCACTGCCTGTCATCTTGATGGCCAGATGCTGTGTGGGATGCAGGATTAGCAAATCGTGACTGGACCTCAGATGATTCTCACACTGAGTACAGTCCACTGTTTTCAAAGGCCCCCAACCCGAAGCTCCAGAAAAGTCAGAAACTCATGTGGGGATCTGTGAGTATAATGCCACTTCTCATCCAATCTCTGTGAAAAACACATTAGTGTATTACCATGTACGCACACTTGTAGGTAAAACATATTTTGAAGTATAGAATTAGTAAAAAAGTACCCCATGTAACAGAATATATGGAAAATTATCAGCTGCTCAATTTGGGGGTTGATGTGCAAGTTGTCATAGAAAGAATAAGCAATAAATTAAAAGAACCGACTTACTGTAGTTGCCCTCGACACCTCCCGACAAGTGCTGAGCAACCCATTCTGTAAGACATCTCTCTGGATGGCGACGCTTTGGACCACATTTGGCTTATCTGGATTCATCTCGATCTCCTGACTCGCTGCAAGTAATGCTTGCTCTAGAGTATGCTGCAGGAACAAAGTAGGCATATGGTTTACAGAGTTATATGGGTTTTGTTCATTACATGCATCAAAGCCCAAGGAATTTAATCAAAACTGCTCACCTTTTCCTTGTGCAGTTGTTGCAATTTTTCCTCTTGTTCATGAACCACCTTACCCTGCTCACATAGTTGGCTAAGTTTAGCCTGAAAAGAAAATCACAAAAAAAAGGATATGTTGTTTCCCTTAAGTGATATCACTCTTCATAACATAATTTGCTGTGTGCAATTGGCTGCCGTGTTTAGCCCACAAAATATACAGTCAATTAGTTTTAGAGTATATTGGACGTCCTCCCGACGTGAAAGGCGCTACACAAATGTAATTTTGTTGTTGTCTATTCTGTGAAGCACTTTGAGACATCTCAATGACGTGATAAGGCGCTATATCAAATGCCAGGATTATTATTTATTAGAAAGCAGTTTCCTATATATTACAGATTAACTTTTAAGAAAATTAAGTATTCTGGGAAGGTAACCCTAGTTACTCTAACTAATAGTTAATCTATTGGTCACCGTCTTAAGATATCTACCAAAAGAAGCAGACGGGAGGTTAGAAGAAATTTTTTCACTCAGCGAGTTGTTCGAATTTGGAATGATCCGCCCGAAAGGGCAGTGAAGTCCGATTCGATAACAGCTTTTAAGAGAGAACTGGATAGGTATCTGGGGAGGACGGGTTTGCAGGATTATGGGGAGAAAGCTGGTGACTGGGGTAAGTGAAAGTGAAGCTCTGTCAAAGAGCCGCACAGACTCGATGGGCTGAATGGCCTCCTTCTGTGCCGTAACATTCTATGAATCTATGAAAAACACCTCTTGTAGCAGTTCAAGGTAATGGAGTAATGCACTGCGTAACTTATTTATCGCAAAATTACTGCCAGAAAAAATTGGCCACTAACAGAAAACCATAGAACCTGTCAAATTACAGTAAATACCTGCAGTTTTATTACCACCTACTGCCTCATGCCGCCTCCAACATGAAATGAACTCTGCTGCCCCCCCATCATCTAACAATGTGAAAGTAGAAACACAAATGTTTCAGGATACTTCAAGCACCATAAAAGTGCTGTAGCTGGCAGTGAGTTTAAGGCTTCCACCAATCCTGCCAATGGCTGTAATCACTTCAACATTCTGAGATGAGGAGATTGCTCGACTAATTTAAGGCACAATTCACTGGCAGTTATCTGTTTTACATTTACTGTAATTTTCACCAGGGTCACATGTTGCCAAACATATGCGCAATAAAAATAAAAAACAGCTTTAGGTTCCCCATTGTTCCTAGTGGAACAATGAAGCAATAAAATAAAAATGGGAGCATATATGGTGCACAAGAGCCCAATGAGAGCAACAACAGATAGGAAATGTCTCCAAAGCTGAAGCTCTATTTATATATAAAACTGGTCGTAGTTATAACCATCCGACAAGAGGTGGGGGCTGGGTGCAGGCTTTATCTTGTACCTTTCTTCCTCTATTAACTAATAGATCTTCTAGTGGGATTAGATGTCATTTTAATGTGTCTAATAACCATATTCTACATCAAGTTCAATTGATGGCTTAAGCGACCACATTTTATGCGGTTTTCTAGGTACAGTAAGTCCAAGCCATGTCATTTTGTAAATAAAGCTTCTGACTTTTCGATTTGTCACTTAAAAGAATAAGCAAAGGAAAACAGGAATTTAAATTTAAGCTTTCAGAAGACACATATACTTGTCTTACCATCACATATTGGTAACTTGTGAATCCAGATGTTATGGGAAGATAAGCATGTGTATCTTCCGAAAGCTTAAATTCAAATCCCGGTGTTCTTTTTGAGTGACAAACCGAAAAGTCAGAAACAGAAATTACCTGTTCTGTCAAAACTGAAAGTTGTCATTTATTGTACGTTTTTACAGATTTTTTTTATTTCTGAACTAGAGCCTCCTATGTATTTAGGTGGGAATGATTATTGTGGAGCCAAACATTAAGAGGGGTATGGGAACAGGTGAGAACCATGGCAGCATTTTCACATTTCGTAGGTTTACACTTGAAACATCTGATATTGGAGATAAACTGAGGGGGAGAAAAGTGAGATAAACTTGAATGTTTCCCTGGAATCTGTACGAAGCGTTCTATTGTAAAATCCCAATAGAGAATCTTAATGTTAAGAAAATTCACATTCCTGACTGAACTGTAAAATCGTTTTCAGCATTCAGCATGGTGAAACATGGTGAACCAGGGTTCAACTAACAAGGACAAGAGTTGGGAATTTTTTAAAACGGTTTCATTGTAATTTACTGTGATGTGATTTCCCACCACGTACAAAACTTAAGGCGATAAAAATAGAAAGAAATACTTTCACGTACATCAATATCCAGATCTTCGGTTCCGTAGTTGTACAAGGCTTCTCTGCAATCCTCGTGCTGAGCCATCTACAATGACATGAATAATAAAATAGTACTAAAATCTCTTAGGGTCACGCGAAGAATTAACGGCTCATGTTTAGGTATTTTTATACCAGATGCATGTCTAAAATAAAAAAAAAATCAAAGGTACATCATGTATTATTGGAATAAAGAAATCAAAATGTTTCAAAAACATGTTCATGCCCTTTGAAGAGAATTCCAGTAAGGTGATGAGAAATAAGGCTAATTTCCTTCAGAGAGTATTCATACAATCAATACTAGCCAACTACAAGCCTGGCAACGATTTACAATGCAATGTTTTTGAAAATCAATGACCCAATGTAATATGTACAAAAATAGCAAACAGCGATTTACCAAACACTGCTTAAAAGGTAAACCTGCCAATTCCATTTTAGCTCTGTAAGGTGGGCAGCAGTAAAGTACCATTGCTTTTAGAGAACTCTTCTCTGCCTTTGGTCAACAATAAGGAATTGATGTGATCAACTATCTTATTTACAAACAGCAAGTATTAAGTGAATGTGAACTTCTGTCATGTATTTTTAAACTGTGGAGCTAAAAGTTCATGTCAACACTAAATCTAGCCTCCTCTAGAGGTGAGATGACTGCGCAAACTTAACTCCCAATGCTTATTTTATGTATTTTGAATAGGTAGGTCAGCTGAAAAGACACAAATTGTACATTAAAAAATGCTCTTCACATTTTAAGTCACCACTGAAAATAGAATAGCACTGAAACCCCAGATAATACTAAATCTTTCCACAAATTAGTCACCCATAGTTTGCTCTTTACAAGTTCACGTTAATTAACTCATTTGTGAATATATTTATCAAATCAAACCAGTCTCTCAATACAGCATAAATAAGCAAAGATATCAAAATGCATAATGAAATCTTTAATTCCTACCCCCTGCCTTCCCACCTTCAAATCTGCCTTAAGACCTAACTCTTCAACCATACTTTCGTACCCCCTTCCACCACCCCCAAGCTCAGGCTATATGAAGCACTTTGAGATGTCCTCCTAATATAAAAGGCACTATAAACATAAATTGCTGTTGATTCAAAGTTGAGGGTTCAAGCTATGTCAGGAGTGTAAGGTCATAGTCAAGACTCGGTGAGCTCTGCATTGTTGGAGGTGTCATCCTTTGAATGAGGCATTAAAACAAGGTTCTGTTTGTCTATTTAGTTGGATATTTAAGATCCCATAACACTATACAAAAAAAGAGAAGGTTTCTCCAGGGGTCCAGCGAATAATTCTCTACACAAAATGGTCATTTACTCAATGGTTGTTTGTGGGACCCTGTTGTGAGCAAAATGGTCACATTTTCTTACAAATACAGTCTTGACAATTACATGTAAAGACCTTTGAGACTCATAGGCACAATATTAAACACAAGGATTATCTAACTAGAATTATTATCAAACATTTCAAAGAAAGACACCTCAGCTATCCGACCAAAATTAAAACCAGTTGACCATCAACTCCACATTCTATCCTTACACTTTTGCATTTAAGACTTCTGAAATGCTTATCCTACCTTGTCCAGTGTATCAGGTGGACTTCCATCACACCACAACGATTTTAGAGGTATAACAATACATCTTAAAATACAACAGCATAACTGAATATGAACATTAGACATTGGAAGAAAAACAAATTGCTGTTCTCCGCCCACGATGGAACACCACTTGGAGCTCCAGCTATACCAGTCTCAGAATTTGACACTTGATTCTATTGAACTTCTATATATTCATTGGTGGGAGGATTAACAATGACCTAAGTGAATGCCTAAACGCATCAGAGAATACACCTTGGACATAGACTTATCAGACATATACAATCAAAAAGCACCAACTCAGAACAAGAACTACAATTTCTGCGGTCAGGTACGACATACATTCAAGCATGCTGCCATTGCCATAACCAGCATGCATAAACATTCAGGAATATTTTAAGAAACGCACATTAGGGAAGCACAACGTCAAGTTCAGATTACCTCATGAAATACATTTAGGATGTAGGAGTGCAAGTCAATACACAAATAAATGAGTAAGCAACAGTGCTGTTTTTACACTTTAATATTTTATAAAGCGATTACTTTTGTTCTTCCTGCAAGTGACACATTTTAATGTCAACATGAAGACAACAAGAAACCTTTGCAAAAGAACTGCAGCCAAACCTCTGTTACCCCAGGATTGAAGACTGACCCACATTTCAGGATGCCATAAACCTATTTACCCATTAACTCAGTTTGATTTGCTACTGCATAAAGTGGCAGTATTCTTTTTCGCTCGTTTTGTTTCATTTCCTGTATTATCGATGAGTTTACAACCAAACATCAGTTTGGTAGAAAGTACTCTATGCAATTTCAAACCAGATGTNAAAAATCTGGGCGCATCTTCAGGAGACAGTGCAATAAAGCATAAAGTATTTTTGGATGGCAAAAGAAGCCATGCCTATAACTGTTGCAGCGTGATAAAATGCATGGATGAATGTCACTGACTATAGATAAAACATTAGGGTATGAGTTAATCGTGAAACTCAAAGCTGCCATAGACAGGGCTTTGTGATTAAGCAATGCAACCAATATCCAAGACCTTACTTGCTTGTATACTTGAGGCCTTGGTGCCGAGTTCTCAATCATAGTGTGAACCGTGGCGATTAAAGGTTCATTTTCTTTCATCTATTTCAAATCAGGAGGAGCATACAGTAAACATCAGTTTACAGCATGGCTGGATTTAAAAGATGAAACAGTGATTATAGCTCCTGCTTTTTAAGAATAGATACCAAAGCCTTTTGCAAGCATTTATACACCAAACGAAAAGGTTACTGTAAGCAATTTTAATTATTATTAGGAAGCAAATCAGAGAAAGGAAGTCAGTTTTTACAAGTCTGACCATGAAACTCCAAGGACTATGCATTGGGAGTTAATGCAAAAATCCCTTGTGATTAATTTGTACCTCAGTAACCTTTGCATTATATAGAAAAAAATAACCAGTGCCATATTTGCACAAGTATGAGCACTGAGGGGAAATCTTGAAACTCAAGGCAATTTCCCCATGGTGAGAGGTAAAATATGCAACTTTTAGCTTGATATTTTATACCTTTAGTTGTACGCAATTCAGATTAGAAATGATCAATTGCCTCTATGGAGCTGTAACTGATTCATAAATGTCATTTCTTACAACAACAACAAATTGCATGTATATCACGCCTTTCACGTCGGGAGGACGTCCCCAGGCGCTGGACAGTCGAGAGTTTGCACAGAGTTAGCTCAGTCAAGCCTGGACGTGATAAAAGCATGGATAAGGGTCTGGGTGGCCCGAGGGGAGAGAGAGAAGCGAAGGTGGGCAATGTTGTGGAGGTGGGGGAAGGCAGAATGGGTCAAGGCACGGTTGTGAGATTTAAAGGACAGCTGTGAGTCGAACAAGATACCGAGATTCCAATTTTGGACCTGAGAAAGTCCCTCATCTCCTCGCATTTGGAGTTGGAGGAAAGGATGGGCGGGGAATGGGAAGGTGGGCAAAGGAACGAGATGTTCAGAGGGAAGGTTCTGGAGGACTAAGGGGACAAACCGACTGGAGATCTGAAGATGAGAACTGTGCCATAGCCACGATGGTTGGATCGTGGGGTATGATGGAAGGTGTAACCTGATGAGATGGCCTCAGTGAGGGGGAAGGTGTCACGGGGGGAAGCGGGGGCACAATCCAGGTTCAGTGAGAGCGAGGATGTCAATGTTTTTATCAATGGTGAGGTGATGGACAGGGAGGGATTTGTTGTAGAGAGAAGAGACATTTTGCAGGGTGATGTGGAAGGGACAGGCAGCAGAGGAGTTTGCAGGACGGAATGGGGGTGGGGGGGTGGGGGAAGGCGTGACAGTTACCTCCCACAGAAGCCAGAACTTTCAACAGAACCTACTTGATTTGCAGTGAAAGTGGAAAGCTATTCTATTAAACCACCATGAAATCTTAAACGCTATAAAGAGAGACACAAGCACACTTGACGTTGTCTTTTAAGTTCTCTCTGGTTGGAGGTTGAAATTTATACAGAAACTCCTCTACAGTGAAGAGGTGCGGTAGATTGAAGTCTGTGGATGGGATAATTGAGGCGATTTCCTTAGCCTCCAGCTGCTCATGATATACAGTGTGGAAGCACCAACTGTAAATCAGGATGAGGATTAAGACGTGCGAGTAAGTGCATAAGTAGCTCTTTATAAAATTTAGATATTACTGCAAATCCATCGCCTTCAAACAATGCAATTAATATTTAAATAAATAACACTGACAAACATAAATGCAAAATTTAAACTTTTGTAAAGACTGGATTTCATCTATTAACTTTTTATGTTCAACAAGAAACTGCACAGTTCATTGCTTTCCAAAATGGCCAAGTTATTTTTTTTTTTACAAGCGCTTTGCAGCTGGCTTGGATTTCAGGCAAGCAAGGATTTGCTAACGGAGGTGTATTTAATTAAGACAATATTTTATTTGAAAAGATAAAAATGCCAGGCCAAAATTAATTCAATATAGGTTAAGCTTTGATTAATAATCAGTCAGCTAAGCAATTTCCCAAACCTTTTTGATTAAACGATTATTTTGCCATTAAACGCATTACAAGATAATTAAATAACTTGCAAGAATTTCTCACTGTTACTAATAGCATCTGATTGGCTCAATGGAGGAAGAATGATTAAAAAGGTCATTGAATCAAATCATTTTTCAGCGAACAAGAAAAAAACTGAATATAGATATCACGTTAAGTATTTGGCTTAGTTTCCTTTTTTGGAGTCCTGTAGCTCGCCTCGCAAGCGAGAGGACCTGGGTTCAATTCCACACACATGCCTGTTTACCGAGCAGTTAAGTTGGAACCCGATTGTTAGTCAATTAGCAATCGCTTTTCGGGGGTAATAATTCCTTCAAAAATATCAATGACTGTTTGTGGGACACTGCTGTGTGCAATTGGCTGCCACGTTTCCCCCACAAAATATACAGTTAATTCACTTTACGTTGTGAAGCGTTTTGAGATGCCTCGACGACGTGATAAGGCGCTATATCAAATGCACAGATTATTATTATTATAATAGAGAAGTGGAGATTTGTAGAGAGGCAAAGCTTCTCAAGAAACAAATAGAAAACTAAATGATAATCAAACTGATAATCAAGATTCTTTCCGTTTGGCATCAAGGTTGCTTGCCACCAGGCTAGTTAAGGAATATAAAAGTATTTTTGTATCGATGAAATCAGGAAACTATAGAAGAGAAAACTCATTGCTAGTACATAATTCCCACCTGGTAGTCCAAATACATGAGGTTTCTTTGAAGGTGATGAGAGAGGATATCATTCTAACAGGCAGCAATAAATAAGAACAAAGAATGTAAGAAAGAAAAGGAGCAACAGCAACAATAAAGCACCAGAAATAAAGCAGTCATTTAAATTGCTCAGGAGTTACAGGAAAGACAGATTACTTTTCACCTGCATTACAAGGTTGCATTTATATCCTTTCAATTATAAATAACTTGTGCATAATGAAAAGCCAAAGATAGGTTTCTTCGAATCACACACTAATCATCCCTAAGCAAAAGATGCTGGAAAATTAATATAGTCTTAGGTACCTTATCAGTCAAAGGCAAACAGGCTACTTGACAGAAGATGTCATTTAATATGAAATAGCGCTCAACACACAAATATAGATTTGTCAGTGTTTTAACACCAAGCCACAAAAATAATATATCCTGCTTACTAAAAAATACTCCTACATGTATTTTATTAAATGTGTTTTTGCATAAGTAACAGAAATATCTCAGGGATGAGGAGGGTTCAATGGTGTCTTGATTTCTCATTCATAATTCACATATTAACAAACTAGCGCTATATATTAACTGGCGATAACTTTTCACCTAAAATTAAATTAAAATACCACTGTCTATACAACTTATCCCTTCACACAAACAAGATGCATTTTTGCAGTATAAGCTGAATTTTTAATACCAATGTGATTTCAAGCTTAAAAATAGAGTACCGAAGATGAATTATTTGAATATATTCTTACATGATAAACCTTTACTTCATAGTGATTTGGTGTCACATTTTTACATAGATGTTATGAAAAGTTAAGGACCTCAATAACAAAAGTATGTAAATTAAAAGAAAACAATAATTCAAATGAATTTGATATAAATCTGTCAATGGGACCCGAGCACTGTGTATGTCAGTCACAGATGATCAGATTATAGACAATGGTGATGGTGTATGACAGAGATGATCTTACAGCTGACCTTTGGGTTTGCGTCACTGAGATTCAGCTGCACGAGCTGTGCTAATGTGTGTTCCCGGATGCTGTTCAGTTCTGCTTGTTGCCGTCTCAGCTTGATAAGGAGCAGAGTCAGCTCCTCTGGCTGCAGGTATGCAGTTTGGGGAGGGAGCCAAAAGGGGGTAGGGGGTGGGTGGGGGGAAGACACATTAATTTAACACCGGAGCAACAAGAGAGGAAACTGTTCTCACACAGCCATTTAGTGAAACGGACAGCAACAGAGAATATGTACCAGACATTTATAATGAAATATTCATACTGGGCACGTACACAGCTGTTGAGATAAATGAGGTTAAACATACCAGTTCAATATTAAAAGATTAAATGAACAGTTGGTTATTTTATGCAAAACACTTGAATAGAAACAACATGAAGGCTTTGATCACAAACAAAATGACTCACTTGCTAGTGCACATTTTACACGGATGTGCAAGTACAAAAACAAGCACCAGGGTGCACATGCACATGCATGCACACTCTTCCAAAACACATTGAGATCTTTAACTTCTCCAGACATATGCCAGAGATTGTCATATGTAGCCTATCAGAAATTATTCAAGCACAGCTGCTCCAAGGAAGAGTTTAGTTTTGGCTGAACAGCAACAGAACCAGTTATATTTTTCACTGAAACATATCTGTTGTAAAATTTAGTAATAAAGTTCATTAATCTTCAGTTTCACTGATAAAGATAACAATTAGTGGAGTCCTGTAGCTCAGTGGTTAGAGCACTCGCTTTGCAAGCGAGAGACCCGAGTTCAATTCCAGGCAGAGGGCGAAACCTCGGGCAAGTTTCCTTACTCCACATAGAGCCTAATAATAATCCCTCCAAAAAAACAAAACAATAAAAAATTGGTCATTTTCAATCTACGACTGTTTGTGGGACATTGCTGTGCGCAATTGGCTGCCGCGTTCGCCCACAAATATACAGTCAATTCACTTCACTGTGTGTTCAGTGAAGCGCTTTGGGACGTCCTCCCGACGTGAAAAGCGCTGTATCAAATGCAAGGATTATTATTATTATTATTAATTTCAACCTGAGAATATTGAACCACGAACCTCATAAAGGTGTACAGCCATTATATAATTTTAGATCACTCCAAACAAACTTATTCCAAGAAAAAAAGCAATCCATTTTTTCTTTGAAATAGATTCGATATTTTGTGCCCCTTCACTATATTTTTGAACTACACAGAAAAACAATTATGAATAAAAAAAATCTTTGGCTCATAATATTTTATGAGCTCTCGATATGAGCTCATAAAATTTGGATATGTACAAAATAATATCTAAACCTAAAATCCAGCTGGATTCTGCTCCACTCCCCCAACTAACACTTCTACATCACGTATTCTCTAACTTTGTCACAGTGAGCCTTGCTAAGAAAAAAAATTACACCTCCCCACATGGCTGTTTATGGGACACTGTTGTATGCAATTGGTTGCTGAGTTTCATCCACAAAATACAATCAATTCACTTTACAAAAGATTCTGTGAAGTGCTTTGAGATGTCTCAACAACAAGATTAGATTTGTATAGCGCCTTTCATGTCAGGAGGACGTCCCAAGGCGCGATATCATGACGTGATAAGGAGCTGTATCAAATGCCAGGAATATTATTATTATAAAATCATTACCTATGAGCACGGGAAGCTGCTGGGCTTTGGGCATACATGCTCGAGCCTCACGAGATTGAATTCAAACCGTTCCCAGGAGGCTGGCACAGCGAGCACACAGCCCAGCTGCTTTCCTGCTCCAATTCAAAAGGAAGCAGCTGGCCACGAATGTACACGTGTGCGCGCACGTGACACAGGCCGCTCTCGAGGTTAATGGAACTGGCACCTCCCCTGGCACACGCCTGCGCCCCACAGCACCTGTGCTCTACAGCATAAAGATCATCCACCCCCACCCTCCTCCTCTCCATTTTATCTGGCCTGTCCGCTCCCTCCAAAGCCCGTGAATGTTAGATTATGTTTCTGGAAGGGAAACACAAAAATATTGCTTATACAGTCCGAGGACGTTTCTCAAATAGGGCATCTTAGCAGCCAAAAGGTTGGACCACCCTGACAAGGACTATTTTCACCAACTGATGAGCAAATACTGAATTGTGTGCCATCAGTGGACCACTAGAGGTCAGATGTGCAAGACCTGTTGCTAGGAAACTAAAAGAAAAGAATATAAATACCAGTCTGTTACTGCAAATCTCGTCAAAGGCTGAAGAATTGCAGTCACTGACTCCCCAGTTTTCTGAGTCACTCACCATCTTAGGTAAGCTTAAAAAAAAATACAGCCGTCAAAATTTTTCTTAATTTGGGAGAAAATGATGGGAGAATCTCTATAAAGATTTTTATAAGATTTTTTTTAATGGTTATGGAATGTAGCCATTTATAGCACTAGATACCCTTTTAATATCTTCGGTGAAGCTCCCAATCCATACACATTTTCTCGATTACTGTCCTCTTATAAAACTTTAAAAGCAGCAGTTTTTGGCAAATGTAAAGCTCATTTACAAAAGTTAAAAATAGGACAGCAGCAAAAGTAATCAATACAATTTTTCATTACTTCCTTCAACCAGCGAGGCTAGTTGCCTGTTACCCAATTCAATGCAATAGAGTCAATTATGTACACAGATTGGTCCCATTCCCAATGAGCAAACAGTGGAGATAACTGGACACAGCATTAAAATCCAAATTGGCGAGAGAGCTAACTTAAAAAAATGTTTGACTAAAAGATGTATTGTTAACAGTAGTACCACCACATCATGTCAGTTCTTTTCTCTCTCTGTCTCTTCCGAATCTCACTAATTTGCTGCCTCTTGTTCTCTATTTCGATGATTAGCTCTCTTTTTCCAACTCCAATTCTACACTGTACAAAAGTTAAAAAAAAGCTTGAACCTGTTCAGGACATTGTTTTATGGCATAATAGTCAATCATCAAATCTGAAACATGAGACTGAGACCAATTTCTAATTCATGAATTTTCATTTCATTCCAATAATCCAAGAACTATTTCCAGTGATTCAATGCAGCCGGTAAGAAGAGGATTAATGAAGGATAGTGGAGCAGCGTTACGAGTTAATGATTAATGCGACTAGTGCAAATAAATCTAAGTGATTTTGATAGGAAACTGAATGGGACTCGGATGCATGTATGACAATTCTTAGGCGATTATACAATCTGCAAAGATAAGACTTATGCAAGTGTTACTGTATCAAACTTCTGTGGTACGTATATAAATCTTCACCACTAGAGGGTGGAAGTGCATCAAATGAACTGATCATTCAGGATAATATTTATTCCGACATTAAAAGGCAGCATGTATAATGTCACCTTTTACAAAAGAAAAGTCGTTCCCTTTCTCTATGTAAGTCATCAACAATCAAACTCTGTGAAGTCCAACAAAATGCAAGGATTTCAAACAAATTAAAGTAGCTCTATCATTAAAACACTTCCTTTAGTAGCCATATGAAAATAGGATGTAGCACTTTATAACACAAAATGTGTGGTTGAGAGTGAACAATAAATGAATGCTAGCGTTTAGTCAAGGGGCTCAGATGACAGCACACAAGACTAAAGCTTCAGTAGTTTATAGATGTCACCTGAAACCAGAGATTAAATTACAACCTTTTAGACGCTTTTTCCTTTTGTAACGTATACCCTTATCTGAATAAAAGAAAACAATGCAGAAATTCAAGGCTATTCTGATGCCATCATTGCACAATACAGTTATACCATCTACAGGAAGCTCAAGAGAATTATTCTACCATTGGAAGAAACATTGCAGAGCAATTATAAATCATATAAGGTTATATAATACCCCATTGGCCAGTAGGAGCACTGTTCAGAAAACTGCAATTCTAATAAAACTATTGCTCTGTATAAAAGTGCTACCAGAACCAACACAAATTACAAAATGAACTCGAAAACAATTTCTGCAAAATAACTAACAATTAAAATCTGCTACATATTTCAAGAGCATGCTAAACACAGCATCACAAGTAGTACTTTGACAATCAACACCACAAATGCTAATAGCAGACCTGAGCCCAAACATAGAGACGGAACATTAAATATAATTTTTAAAATTCAACACTTGGGAAATACAATCCTGGCTTTCGGTTACTATAAACTGCTTTGGGCTCTTCCTATGGCTCAGTTGGTCACATCACAATTTAGTAAACTCAACTATACAGACAGTGTTCAATCTTCAATCTGCTCTGATCTTGGTCAGTGCATCTGTAAGTGTCCTGCATTGACCCTGGGGTGGAAAAGTCACTTATCCTGATCATTATTAAGTCACACCAACTCGATAATGCATGCACATTATCAACATCTGGTGAGAACAAGATTGGGCTCAGCTGGTATGTCCCCCCCTCAGCCTGGCAATACTTACCTCCGAAGCTCACACATGAAGAATGATCAATCGGGTGAGATACAGAGCATATCATACAAATCATTCCCCGAGAACCAATCAATGTTTTCACAAAAGGAGGGTAGAAAATAGACGATTAAAAAAAATGTTACACATCCTTGTAATTCAGAAACAATATAGATTTATCCAGTTACAAGTAGGGTTCAATGCAAAATATGTGCAGCCATTTGGACAGTAATTAATTTACAAAGCTGGAACATTTAAGAAAAAAGAACTGAAGTTTGAATGGTGAATGCTTTGAACAGATAGATTCAAGACTTTTGCTCAAATCTTTGCACTTTAGAAATATTTCAACAGAATTCATCAATAATACTCACCGTTTTACCTTGTAAATTTTCAGGATTAACATTTTGTCCAGGTAGGCCGGCAGGCATTGATCTTCTGTTTGGTGGATAGACAAACTACGTATGGTGAAGGGAGAGCAACAGAAAGGAAGGGAAATTTTTTTAAAAAAAAAATTAAGATTTTCTCCATATTTATATATTAGTTTTGTTTTCCTCTCTATCATTCCTCATTTCAGCCACAAAATACACAGTCAATTCACTTTACAGTATATTCTGTGAAGCGCTTTGAGACGTCTCAAAGATGTGATAAGGTGTTGTCAAATGCAAGGATTATTATTAGATCTTCTTTGTAACAAACTATTTGTAACAAAGCACAAGGAAACAAACTGTACAACTCAATTCAACTTTATCATTGGCATTGAGAAGCTCCATTAAAGCAATATTGGGTTGTTTCCTCAGTTATTGAGGCACACTTTCTCAGGCTGCTCTGTTTTGTAGGAAACCATAACCCTTTGTTAAAATTATAGAATTTAAGGCTCTACTGTAATACAGTATTTCGATGGCAGTTAGTCACATACGTTGGAAAGACTAAATGCAGCCAAAAGTACCATGCCTTTTGAAACAGATTTTCTTCCTCTGCAAAACAGTATATATCATCATCATTCTTAAAGCAGATAATATGCAGCATATGGCAAATAACCAAACGATGGGAGTTAGCAGGCAAATCAGATTTGTCTCTTAAAATTGTAAGTTTGCATTCTTATCACAAGCAGGTACAATTATTTTCCTAGTCCTAGAACCGTGTTAATACTGTACAGTGAAGATTACAACACATCAAAAATCTAAATGTCCGGTCAAGATTTTGAAAACACTAACAGAGAACAAATGTCAAGAGCAAGAAAAGCGTTTTACCCTATTGACGGGCGTCCTGTGCCGTCTTGATTGACTGGAGTCAATTGTCATGTCGCCTCTTAAAATGGGCGATGATAATTCTGACCTTGATGCCGTGTCGTAGGATTTTAAGGGGGAGTACACCTGGTAGGGAACGAGTGACCCGTGCGAAGGTGATGCTGGAATAGAGTGTGATTGTTCGACGATATTCACCATGGTGACTGGGGTACTCAGGGTACCGTGCCTCGGCAGTGTTCCCTGCCTCTGGTAGACCTGTCGCTGTTGCCATTCGTACAGCTGCCACATGGTGTCGTCTCGCATCGACCTCCGTTTGTCATCCGCCGATCGTGGCCCAAGTACCCTGTCGTATGAGGAAGACGATAATGTACAGATACTCTCTGGTCTTGCTGTGCTGTGACGAGGCATCGTTCTGTAACGTGGCATGGCCTGAGCTCGGTAACTGGGCATGTTTCTTGGAAGAGTTTGGTAGCAGGTGATGCTGCAAATGAACAGAAGAAAAAGCACAATCGATCTATTACTTTCACTTTAGTTCCTTAAAAGTATCATATTCACCCCAAAATACATATATACATGTATATTGTGTTTCCTAAATGTCTGCAAAGAGTCTCTCCCGACAGCTAGCATGATGAGATAATAATTCAATAATGACAGAGTTGTAAATCAAGTTGTGAACTGTACGCTTTATGGTATTCCCCACACAATACATATTGTCAATACATGCTATTCAATCAATCCATATCTGATTTATGGGAAGCGTCAATTCTTAATGAAATAAACATTAAGGATTTGTTTAGATTCCTAAGAATATTGGCCACAATTCAACCAAGATTTCTGAGGATGGTACAAGTCCCAGTGTTTGAAATGCTGGACTTATTAGCTATAAATGTGCCTACATTTGCTTACAAAAATAGTACACTTGACACTAATTATCTCTGAAGTGCTTTGAGATGTAAGTATTTTCTTTCCATTGGATACAAGTACAATTTTGAAATATAATTGGCAGTACATGCTGTTACAAGGTTGCTGCTGTGAAATGAGCTATATTATTGAAAACAGCAATATTGAGAACCCACAACAGAGCAAACTACATACACATCCTTCGATGCCCCAAATGATCTTTTTATTCCAGGTTTCCCTATGTTCTCACAATGTTCATGAAAGTATTTCTATGAAGCAAAATATTTTCACATAAATCGGAAACACTAATCAGAAATAAGGAATGTATCAGAAAACACAATTCAAAAAAGCACATTGATCGACTTCTGAGAGATGGATTCATATTTTGGGGGTTATGAGAATTGGAATGATCAAGTTGGAGACCTTAAATACTGAGTAAAGCAAGGAGAACCTACCCAAGATAACAGGTAAGAAACATTGAAATCTAACCACATTAAGGTCAAACATTGAAATCTAACCGCATTTCACAAAGGCAGCGCTGAAAGATCATTACTGGATTGCAAAACATCAAATAAGGAATTCTTCTACACTATTTACAAACATAGTTTGTGGAGTCCTGTAGCTCAGTGGTTAGAGCACTCGCTTTGCAAGTGAGAGACCTGAGTTCAATTCCAGGCAGAGGGCGAAACCTTGGGCAAGTTTCCTTACTCCACACAGAGCCTAATAATAATCCCTCCAAAACCAAACACAATAATAAATTGGTCATTTTCCATCCATGACTGTTTGTGGGACATTGCTGTGCGCAATTGGCTGCCGCGTTCGCCCACAAATATACAGTCAATTCACTTTACAGTGTGTTCTGTGAAGCGCTTTGGGACGTCCTCCCGACGTGAAAAGCGCTATATCAAATGCAAGGATTATTATTATTATTATAAACATGGGAGTTCTATTTGTTTGGCTTTCATTTTCCCCGTCAGTAACACACAACAGTAAAAGGGTGAAGGGTGGTGGAGGCTGATTCGATAACAACTTTTAAAAACGCGGTGGATGGGTATTTGAGGAGGATGGGTTTGCGGGTTATGGGGAAAGGGCTGGGGAGTGGGATTGATATTACATTGCTCTTTTCAAAGAGCCGTCACAGGCTCGATGGGCCGAACGGCCTCTTTTTGTGCTGTACGATTCTATGATTCTATGAACAAAGTTTATAACTCCAATTGAAAACCAACACTGCAATATAAATGAACAAAAGACATTCAGAAGCCTTCATGTTGCATATAACATTTTATGTTGTTCCTGTAAAATACAGTTGATTAAAATGCAGAACATTATTGCTCTCTCCTTGGGAGCTTTCAAAAACCACTGCACTAAATCAGATATAACCACTCTTAAAGCTACTTCCACTGCTTGCTTTTGTGTTTTGAGATGGAATCGACACTACAGCTGAATCAAATGCCCAGACTACTTTGTAGATGAAGCAAGCAGTAAATAGCAAAATATGGTTCAATGTTGGTCCTTTGCTGTATTTACCATTATATTACTGACTAATATTGTTACAAATACCAGCTGAAAAAAGGTCGATTTACTGGGGTTAAAGGGTGACAAAAATAACAACTGGGACAAGCCAAGTAAAGGTCGTATTTTAACATTCAGATCCACAGGAGAGCATAGTAATAACACATACATTTTTCATGAAACAGAAAACTTTCTTTATAAATGGTTTAAAGAAGAAAAATCTTTGAACAGCTGCTTTTCAGTAACCAAAATGGTGGTTATTATGAGCACTCTGGCGGCGTGGGGTCAAAATCATGGGCAAATAAATATGAATTTAATGTTATATTAGCTGTATTATGGATGTGTTTACCAAGAGACTCCTGGAATCAGGCCAAACATGCAGCACAAATCCCATGATGTGTAATTAAGCTTCTCACAAACCAATCCATGTATCAACTAGCGCAGAAAATAATGAACACATTTGAAAATTAACACATTTGTTGAAGACTAAACCAATGCATTTAAGATGCTAATCAAATTGTATTCATGTATGACAGGGTTTCAGTCGACAAAGCAAAACATGGTTTATGTGCTGCTGCAGGTTGGTACCTGAAGAGCTTCATGTTCACATCGGGAGGTTGCAAACAACCATGAGGAAAAGCTGTGTGGAAAGTGTGTTAAATGAGTTGGGCCTCTCTATCAATGCATTAAAAATTCACTGGATGTTCATTAAAGTAATCCTTCAGCATCCTATTAGTGTTCACAGGGTATTAGAAGTGTTTAGAGCTAAGGCCGAATTGACAGAGATAAAAACAAGCATTTTGCTTAGCACATTAAAACATCTCAAAACATTTTAAATGTAATCACTCTCAAATTTAATGGCCAGTGTTTGTAAGCAATTATTTGCAGCGACAACAACAACAACAACAACAAGATTCCATTTATAGAGCGCCTTTCACGTCAGGAGGACGTCCCAAGGCGCTGCACAGTTGGGTCATGACCCGAGCATTGGGGGGGGAATGGTCAGGGTGAGGGGAGGGAAGGGAGGGAGCGAGGAGGGGGGAAATGGTCAGGGTGAGGGGAGGGAAGGGAGGGAGCGAGGAGGAGGAAGAGAGTCGAGAGGGGAGCTGAAGGCACGGTCAAAGAGAAAAGGTTCAATAAACTGCTCTGATGCGAGTAACCAAAAAATCTGGATAAATGTTTGCTAAAAACCTCCAACAAAACATAGGGAGAATCTGCTTTGACGAGAGTGGGCCACAGGCCGAACCCCCGCACCAGTCCAGGCAAGTCTGCACTAAATTAATACCTTATTTCTAATACCTACCGAGTTGTAATACCAATGGCACAGCCATCAATGAAGACACGTTCAATAAAGAAAAAATGACTTGGTTGGCTGGCCGAAAAGGTTGGTGACCACTGTCGTAGACCAAAGAATAACAGCAATTCTGTTGATATTGGTGATCAATTCATAAAATTATGCTATTTTTTACTATCTTCATATCATTCAATCAAATGTAAACAGGAATATTAATATTTAATGAGCATTACAAGTGGAGCTTCAAAGTCATTTTCATTTATGATCAAAAGGTATGCTGTACTCTCCTTACTAGAATGTCAACACTTCAGAGTCTTCTCAGATGTGTAATTCTTGTGGAAGTTGTGAATCTTTAAAGGTCAATGTTTCAGCGTTGGAAGGTCAGATTTGCATTTTACATTTCATGGAAAGCACAACTGAATCTTGAACCACAAAAAGTCACTTATATATGGTTCCTACACGCACGCTCATGGCACTTTACAGTTTTTTCTGTTAGATGCTTTAGGAAGTCCTCCCAACATTAAAAGCATCCTGATGTAAGGATTATTATTATTACTTCTAAACCTTAAAGAATACGTGTTCGGTATCCATCCAAAAGCAATTTTTAAGTAATTACCTTCTGTCAATATCAAAATAAATTGAGCATCCACATGACAAAGGTTCAGATAAACAGATAAAACTAACATTAGTTATTCAGAGAATATTACTCATAGAATAGCAGCTAGATCTGCACTCATCGATTCAAGTAATAAACGATTTCCACACAGGTTTGGGGTAACAATTTTTGCTCATGGCAAATAATAATCCCTCCAAAACCAAAAACAATAATAAATTGGTCATTTTCAATCTACGACTGTTTGTGGGACATTGCTGTGCGCAATTGGCTGCCGCGTTCGCCCACAAATATACAGTCAATTCACTTTACAGTATGTTCTGTGAAGCGCTTTGGGACGTCCTCCCGACGTGAAAAGCGCTATATCAAATGCAAGGATTATTATTATTATTATTAACTGCAGACTGATTTTCAGCAGGTTTTGTTTCTTCTTACTCTCATAGTTTAAGAACTTAACACCATCTTTGGAAACTCGATGTATTGCTTCCAAGCTCCACTGGCTCCTAGCACTCCAGCAATAAACTTTTAAAATATTTATTGTTATCTTTGCACAGCTGCATGGTCTCACCACTTCCAATCTATGTAATATCTTGCAGCTCTATACTCCAGCCATGTCGAGTCTTACACTGTTTTGATTCTGATCTGTTGCTTGCTCTTGAATTCTTCCATCCCACCATCGGTGACAGCCTTTAGTCTCTGTGCCCCTGTCCTCTGCAACTCTTCCCAAATTGCATCATCTTAATATATAATAATAACCCTTGCATTTGATATAGCATCTTATCACATCGTTGAGACATCTCAAAGGTGCTTCAGATTATACTGTAAAGTGAACTGACTGTATATGTTGTGGGCGAAACACACCTGCCAATAATCCACAGCAGTGTCTCACAAGCAGTCATGGATTGAACAACCAAATTAGTAATTTTTTTTTGAGAATTTACCACATCCAGTTAGCGATCTGCCAATTGACTAACAACCAGGTTCCTTCTTAAACAGAAGCGGTGTCTGTAGTACAGAAACTTGTCTAAGGTTTCGCCCTGCCTGGGAATCGAACCCTGGTCCTCTAACTTGTGAGGTTGTGCTCTAACTATATGCTACAGGACTCCACATCTCGCATCCTCCCTGCTAATTTCAAACACTCTTAAAGAGGTTAAAAGAAGTCTTTCAACTGTGCCTTTGGTCAACATCCTTAAATCTCATTTTGAAACATTTATCCCATGTTAAAGATTGTATACAAGTGCAAGCCTCTTCCTGCATGATGCTATCTATCTACAACAACAACAACTTGGATTTATATAGCGCCCTCCACGCCAGACGGTGTCTCAGAGCTTCACAGTAAGGAATCCTGGGGCCGAGCCAGGGGGAGGAAGGTGACCAAAGGAGCGGTCGAAAAGATCTTTAGAAGGGACCTGAAAGTAGGAAGAGAGGGGACGAGGCGAAGGGAGTGAGTTCCAGAGCCTCGGGGCGTAGTGGCTGAAGGCACGGCCGCCGAGAGTGGAGTGGAGGACTCGGGGGACAAGGAGGAGGCCAGATCCGGAGGAACGAAGGCAACGGATGAGGAGAGAGGTCAGAGAGGTCGGAGGGTGCAGAGGAGTGCAGGGACTTGAATACAAGGGTGAGGATCTTGAAATATATCCTCTCTGGGATAGGCAGCCAGTGCAGTCTGGCAAGGACTGGGGTGATCGGGGAGCGGAATTTGGTGCGGGTGAGAATGTGGGCGGCAGAGTTTTGGATGATTTGGATTTTATGGATGGTGGTGGATGGGCGTTAGAATAGTCCAGCCGAGAGGTGACAAAGACATGGACTAGGGTTTCAGCGGCATTCAGAGAGAGGTATGTGCAGAGACGGGTGATGCGACGGGAGGTGGAAGAAGGCGGTGCTGGTGAGGGAACGGATGTGGGGGAGAAAGGATAATTGGAGGTCGAACCTGACGCCTGGGTTGCGTACGAGTTCGGAGAGTTTTAGGGGGAAGTCGGGTAGGTGGAGGAGGTGAGAGCCGTGGGATTTGAGATGTTGACGAGAGCCAAAGAGTACGGCTTCCATCTTTGCTACAGCTTTAGTCATTATGAATGATCCAATATTTTACACATTAACCTGTATATGAAAATATTAACATAGGTCCGTCAATTCCTTGTCAAGTCTATATTATAATCCTTTTTTCTAAAATCAGCTTTAGTTACTGTATTTACATTTCCCACAAATAATATCTGAAAGTTATTATTAATGCATTATATCTAACCACTCAATGTCAGCTTTGAGATAATTGAAGTAATTCCTTAGGGCATTACAGCACTACTTCACCTTGCCACTTTGTCGCTGACCTCAGCACAGATTACCTGAAACACTGATGGAATTAATGCCTTGATGAAGCATTCGTTTTATATATTGTGATCACAACTAAATTCTACGATTGTTTAAGCTGTATTATTTTAATGTGACTGGATTATTAGTCAAAACAAAAGCTGCTTTATAAATTTCTTTATAAATTTACTAGTGTGAAGTTCTGCACCTAACAGATCCTGGTAACAACCTCCTTACATCCTTTCAATGCAAATTAAGATCATATTAAAGTTTCACTTAAGATTCTTTTGATATCTACTGAAAACTAAATTGAATAATGCAGCCATCCAGAATCTTTATATCCAACTAGAATACATATGAGATTAAGTAATGGTTATAGCAAGACTCCTGCTCAAAGGTTATTGCTGTTTCCTGCCTTTCAGGCCATCATTCACATTTTAATGTTTCTTTTCTTTGGGTGAAGCTTGTAATTTTAGAAATCACTTTTTCTAAGGTTGAAGATGAGAAAAAATTACATTTTGAGCAGTAACACACTATATTTTTAAATAACGGCAGTCAAGACTTGCCTGATTTATGTTCAAGAATACACACTGGGACATGAGATCACATTGGCTAACACAATGTTTTGCGGCAGTTAAGACTTTAAAAATAAATGGAGCTGAAAAAAAGATTCAGGTCCAACATCTGTAATGGATTTTTAACCTATATTCGTTGCTAAAATCCCATAATAAATACAAGTGTTTCACACGTGCAATTTCAATCAGTATTATTCTGAGTACAGTATTGCCACATTATAAGTTTCTCCACATATGAGTATGAAGTGATCAACAAAGCCTTTAAGAATTTGCATTGCATCGTATCATTGCCAGTGGGTACCCTACATCATCGATCCAACAAGGCGGAAAGTCACCATAAAACAAGCATATATGATTTTTGAATATACTATATACACACACATATATATATATATACACACACACTGTTAGTGGTACTGCAATGGCACTCATTAAACTTTAAACAGCATGTAAGCAAATTTAATTTGAAAGAATGTAGAACTCAAGCTGCGTTGGGTCATGTTAATAAGTGCTGCAGCAGATTTCAGTGTCACTGTCTAGCATCAACCTTTTTTAAGTTGTTCTTTTTTGGTCAGCTGGGTGTCTGACACATGCGGAAACCCATCCCCATGCTTGAAGAGTATCCTTTGTAAACTGAAATAGAATAATAAAGCTATTAGACCCTTGGTCTGCTAATCTCGAGCCAGTTGCTGAAAGTTATACACCAGCAGCTGAGATGGCGCAGATTTCCCCCTCTCCCCAGTGTTCATTCCCTCAAGCAAACAGCCTGGGATCATCTTAGCATCTTCTCTGATGGCACAACCAGGTTAAAGTAACTACTGTGTGGGATCCAGAACATGAACCTAAATCATACCACACTATTGTTCCAGATTGTGCAACACGTTTTATTTTTTAAAAGTTTCAAGCTAAACACCTTGATAAATACGAATCTGAAGTATAATTGCGAATTTTTATTGTGGCATTCCATTTTCTAGTAGTCCAGAAATCTACAAAAATAATAAGGTTGCAGATTAAATGTTGATAAAGAATTTAGAATTGGAAAAGTCTCCTAGCTTTAATGTCAGCAATCTCTTTTTTTTCTGCAGTCAATGCATTGGCTGAAATATACAACACACCAGGGAGCCCCTAGAATATAGAAATCCCATACAAGACTTAGTGCTGAAATAATGTGAGCATTCTTTAGGAGAACAAAATCGTGCAATGCTTGAAACAAAAACATTACCAGGCAAGCCTCCTACCTTCTAGGTTCATCCTCTTGTCCCCTCTCTTTCTGCGTTCGCACCCATTGCTCCAGTTGTACCATAGAATTAGTCCTCTGCATTCCCCTTCCATTGCTGTTTTGGAAAACGAGCATCTCTCTTCCTGCATCTGTATCATCCATAGGTGCACTGATAGCACCAGCTGGACTAGTCGCAGAACTTGTTGAACTGTTCACACGAATAGGTTTGTACTGTCCAGCCTGCACGCTGCTTGTACCTTTGCTTGACATCACATTTGGACTCTCTAATTTGGTTGAGTGCAAATTGATGCTATTAATCTTAGTCAAAGGCTTGTCCAGTCTGTCTTTGTCAAAACCATATTTGTCAGCGTGACCAAGGTTACTATTGTCTATCGTCTGGAGACTTAAAGTGGGATCTTTATTTTTCTGGTTCGGAGCTTCAGGTTTCATTAACATTTTGTGATTTACAATATGGTTATTAGCCTCTTGTGGCGGCAAATTTTCAGATTTTACTTTTTCAATCCTGTTGGTGTAAGACAGGGTAAGTGAATGTTTCTCATCCAGGCAGCAGTAATGTTTGATCTAGAGTGAGCCAACCTGTGGTGACTCCAGCACCCCACCCCTCCCACGCACACGTTAGCGACAGTGGAACAAATTCAAACATCAGTATTCTAAACATATTCTGATAGCTTCAAATAAAGAAACAAATTTACAGGCAACATAAGCAAAGTTTTGCATTTAACACACACATAAAACAAGTTGATAGGCTTGCTTGCGAACTGAACTGTCGATTTTCAGGACATTTACATGAAGTATAACAGAAATATATAAAAATCCACATTCGCAATGTTCATCAATGCAACTTATTTGTGTTGTTGACAAATTAGGATTAAGACTTTGAACAGCTGTCTTTCTCATTCATTGACAGGTGACAGCTGAGCCTCTGCAATCTGATACACTATTGTGGGAAGCAGCATCCTCTCACCACAAATCTTTGAGGTCCTTGTGCTCTCAAATTGTGCTTATCTCTTTCTCTCTCTCTCTCTGGAAAAACAATCAAGATTGCCTGGACACAGTCATGCCCCAGTACTTGACATTCCATAGTATTAGGACACAACAGATACCAGCAATGGAAGAGAGTCAGAATTGCAACACTGTGATATTTATTTTAGCTGACAAACAAAGTTACTGTCAACATTTTAAATGAATGAATGAATGTGATTCAGTCATTTTTTTTGTGGACCACAATTACAACAATTGTCTTACTCAAGGCTGATTCGCAAGATCACTGCTACACAGGGAGATGGGTCGATGGTTTGCCCTGTGAGCTCCCAATTTCAATCAAACCACTGTGGCAAGCAGGGACGAGGGACTTAATGAACAGGAAGAACAAAGAAGCTGCAAAACAATGATTGTATTAAATAGTACTGAAAATAGAGATTACTTTATGGAAGCTGAGAAAACCTGGCCTCTTAATCATACTCCCTTACCTTTCACAGAAGAGCAAGAAAATTAGATGAAATGTAAATCACAGCTAAGTCAATATCGCAAATAGAGATCAGAGGCAGAGTAGCACGCCTGTTAAGATCCAGTAGATCAAAGGGAAGCATGCCACAAATGTCCCCTGTGCTGTATAACAGCCACTGGTTTAAACTGCACTTGTAAACACTTTATGTTACCAATTATAACAAGACCCTGTTATAAGGCAATAACTGGGGTCTCTAAAATTCCAACTGTCAGCACTTCCATATCAAGGCTCACAGATCAAATGGCTGATATGTGTGTACAGAAGTCTGACTTAATGAAAGCACTTTATAACAACAACAACTAAATTACATGTGTGGAGCGCCTTTCACGTCAGGAGGAGGTCCCAAGGCGCTGGACAAAGTTACAGACCCCAGCTGGGGGTCCGGATGGGGGAGGGTGGAGGGCGGGGGGGGAAGCAGGGAGATTGAAAGCACGGTCGAAGAGGAGGGTCTTGAGATGGGTCTTGAAGGAGGCAAGGGAGGGGGCAAGGCGCAGGGACTGCGGGATTTAAGCATTATGAGAAGCTTGTCTTTTTGGGGGAGTTGGGTTCAAGTTCCGATGAAGTGTGCAATCGATTTGGAGACACAGAATTATGTGACTTGGGGTCTTGCCTTATCCCAGCAGGTCTGTGGAGAGTATAGCAGGTGGCTTTGTGATATATAAAAATCCTTGCATTTGCATTTCCAACTCAGCTCCACAGGAAAGCGTTTGAAGTATTCATGAAGCTAAATAAAAAATTGTTTTGCATCACTGCATTAAGTCTGAGATTGATGGTAATTCCAAAATCTAAAAGATTGTCAACAACTTAAATATAAAACAAGTTAGTGGAAAATTCACTTCATCTCAAGTCATGATTATGTTGCAGTGAAATTCCTGTTTCTCCAGATTGTTAACCTGGTACAAAGGTTTTAAACTGGACTAAACACTGGATTTTATGAGAGTTGAAAATCTACATGTGTGTGCAATGATTATTTATTCATAAACAATTCTGGTGAAAACATTTCCTTATTAAGAAAAGTACCAAATGATTCAACTAATGTAACCTATTGATCTGAAGATAAAATCCCCATTTTCCTCACGATTGCCACTTGATTCCATTTATTACTACGCTTCCTGTTTCAGTTGGGTGGGTAGGAAAGTCAGCATTGGCTTGAATGACACTTGAATCAGGAATAGCAAGATGCACAAGTGCAATTGGCTTTGCTAATGTTTCCGCTCTTTCCGGCCAAAGGGCATCCTCTCAGGGTTTGGTGAAACTAACAGCTCACTTATCTCGCCCTTTGAGGGCAATCTACTTTGAATGGTAATAACTGCAGGGAGTTCAATTCTGGCCTTATGACTTCAAGTGCAGCACTTTGCCACCATGCGAAGTCCCCATCTGATAAGCCATGACAGCACTTGAAATACTGACATCTTCCATACTTGGCTCTAGATTTATGATTTTTCTTTGGAAATCAAATAGCAATTTCACCTCTTCACAGGCTCGGTTTGAACAAGGGCAGCTTCAATCATAACCTTCATCCAGGACTCCATTTCCTTGACTGTATCCGTGTAGAAGTAATAAGTCCGCATATTTGGATGAGCAGCCTGATTAGAAATGACAGTCATTATTAAGGGAACATGACTCCTGCAAGAAAAAGGAGAAAAGAAAAATACATAGTTACCACACCAAAGAACAATCACTTCAAAATGAAGATTGAACATTTTCAAATGCTCAGTTACACTGATTATTGAATGCAGCAGTAAACAACAGTGAGCTTGTTGCGTCACTGGAGACAAAATCCAGTACTTTAGGTTATAATATGCTTATAATATAAAATAGCCAACTCGCCCAGAAAATATTCCATTTTTAACCTTTTTTAAAATCAAGCTGCAAAGCAGAAACAAAATTACAGACTGTACAGCACTAAAGCTGGCCATTCGGTTCCACTAATTCATGCCAGCAAATTCCATTTGAGCCTCCACCCATTCTAATACTCTCTCCCTGTCCTGCTTCCATTCCCTCTAGTCCCTTCTCTTGCATTAACAGGAAGATAATGGAAACTTAAAACTTAAAAAGTTAGTTTCACACATCTGTCACTTCTGCATACATTTGTAGTACAAACACAAACATACTTACCCTGTTGTTTTAAGTGCATTTACAGCAGCTCTGAAACACCCCAAAAGGCCATCAGTTGCTCAGATATATGGTTGGATGTTGAAAACAGAAAGAAAGAAAATGACAAAGAAGGTGGAATCTCAATCACTGACCTCAATGTGAGAATCAATTAGCTTCTTCAAATATTTGTAAACTAGACGATGAAAACAAGTTCAAAGTTGTACTTTTTTTTAAAAAGATTGCAATTCAATTAATAATTCCGGTCTGTCCTTTTCATCTGATCAAAACTGCAAAATCTATTCAAAGTTCACAATTTAGGTAAATATTTCTGAAATTACTTCCCTTGTTTTTGGTATCACAGTAGAAAGAAAGAGAGTAAAACAACTTGAGGATGGCAGCAAATTAACTAGGAAAATTCCTTAAAAACAGATGGTTTAAAGAAAAACAAAATCTAAATGTGGAGCAGTAAATATTTGGAATAATGTGAATTGTAATTTGAACAAATCTCCCTTTCGGGTTTTTAACGACAACATGTTTCATACAGAAAGGAGCCATATCATCATGTGAAATTCACTAACCTTGAATGCATATTTTCGGTTTATATGATCTTCAGGTGAAACTGGCCCGATCTTAAAACTCGGCAGAAGAATACTCCCCAGAATACCTTCTTCTTTATCATCTGAAAAAAAAGTCAGAGATCACAGTGTAACTCTTAGGACGTCAACTGGTTTAGTGAAATTCCTGACTCCCTGGGCTAGATGACTTTCACAATTACAATTAGAGAAGCTACTTTGATGTTGGGAGTAATATGAACTCCTGTACAACACTTTTGAAAATTCAATTTTGGCTGTCCAGTCATCTATCTCAATCTGTCGGATTTGACTTTTATCGTTAACCTAACCCAGCCTCGCCCTTTTTTAAAAATAATTTCTTCCCTTTGTACAAAATAGAGTGCCTCATTATAAGACCATCCATATTAGGATTCATAAAATCCCAACCAGCCTTATACCATGTTCCAGCCAGGTTCACTTGCACATGCAAGCAGCCGACTGGCTCAGTTCAGCCTGGCTAATTACAGCACCCTATTGACTTCCTCAACTGAGAATACAGTCACGATCATCAATATCTGTCTTCATCCAAATTCACCCAAACAAAATCTAGTCGTGTGAATGATAGTTATGCCAAAATCTGGTGCTGCAGACATTTCTAAGCATCTTTTGAACATTAATATAAAACCCTTCACAAGCCCTTTTTTAAAACAAAACATGATCAAATCAGTTAGAAAATCCTGTTCATGCTCCAGAAATAGCGCATTAGTCTGATGACCCATGGAGAAAAGCTTGTGATTTCAGTCCTCAGGAGGAAGGGGGTGAGGGACAAAAAAGCAGCAGTGACAAGCTGTTAACTTAATATTACTTCTGAAAACATTTTTGGCAAACGCTCATGAGCAGAAAGGCTTATGACTCTAAAAATGAGCCAATTAAGCTTCAAGGTACTCTTATTGTAATTCACTCAAGTTTTATAGAACCTTTCTTTCCCTACTGATAATCAGCAGAAATACTAAACATTAATTCTTAAACAATTACATTCAATGATCCATAGAGATGTTTTATAAAATGTCATTAAAAAGCAACCTTTAAGGTCATCACTGCAAATGAATTATTTTTATAGCAAAAACAATACTGAATAAGTCCAGTAGTTAAAGACCTTTTAAAAAAACAACTGTGTTAAAATGGGGTGCATTATGATGCAGCCACTTGCGTTCACTGCTGGGTTTACAAGGATCACCGCTGACATCACTGAGTCCTCATTTGAATCCAGGTTCCAGAGACAAAAGAAGAGCCTTCTTAACTCAGTCCTTTCAAGTTCTCTCTTGTGTATGCCGCTCATAAACCAGTCAGTCAAGAAATAAACGAGAGAAACTCTAAAGGAGTCTTTGACACTCAAACTTCACTGCATCAGGAGATTAGCTTTATACAAATGATCTTCCAGTTAACAAGGCAGAATGAATGCAAAGAGAGAAGCTGACAAACAACTGTTGAGGCAAAAGTAAAAGGGCATCTTGAATTTAGGCATTTTTTGATCAACTTGTATGATACAAATCATACCATTTCTTCTCCTCCTCCACTTCTCAATTACCAAGACTTGTTAGTTGGGGTGGGGAGGGAGAGGGAGGAAGGAAAGTAAATGGAGTCTCCTTGGGGCTGAGTTGGCTCTAAGGTGACAGGCTTGACAACGGGAGATTGTAAAGGAGTTAATCGTCCCTGGCAGTCTGAGAGCTCTGGTACCTGAGCCTGCAGTGCTGCAGGGCATTAGTGATGATGCATCAGTCAGCCTGTCTTGTTAGCAGAACTCGGAGGAGAAGGCCACATTCTGGGACTATGTCTCTTCCCAATAGTCGCCTGTTAACCATATAAGACTAATCCCTAATGGTAGGATGATCCTAGCTGATCAAGCAACTTCTGTGATATTTAAAGGAATACTTTAAATGCAAGAATGCATTTAAGATTAGGGTTTGAAGATTTACAATATTTTATGTTGTTAATTTTTCACTTAGATTTCCATCAAGTGCATTTATTTAGTGCAACTCATTAAATGGAACTTAATTAATCTGGTTCTATTTCTGTTTCTCAGGAAAGATGCCCTTTATTAAATCTTATACAAATTTAGCCTTTTGCTCTAAAGGCTTCCCTTTGAAACAGTTTTCTTCTGGGTTGATTTTCAAACATATTAGGCTGCTTGTGAAATCTCGGTAAAATGAGATTGTTAATGCCAGTGGCGTCTTATTAAATAGAAAAGACATTGAATTTAGGGCATGAAAGATCAAGAAAGTAACAATCACTAGACTCATTTTGAATTGTACAACTATTTCTGACCTATTACATTACAATTACTTTGCAATTGGTGATCATCAAATCATGGCATTTGTAAAATGATCTATATTATCTAGATGAATATCCTTCAGACACAACTATAAATCATGCAAAATGCAGGGAGCAAAAAGGCCAGTATCTCAGGCAGAACTTAGTTTTTTGAGTGAGTGATTCTAAATTCTACCCAAGGTTAACATTTGGACAGCAAAGGATGACAAACTTGAAAAATATAACCTATTCAACACAAAGGTAGATTTGCTCACTTGTTGCACATCAAACACACAGTTATCATTCATGAAATGATCTCAACGACTGAATTTTCCATCTATGAAAGTTGATTGGCAACTTATGATCAGTTTGATTCATCAGCTGTACAGCTGCTATCTTAAGCGCTCTGAAATTCTGTCTGGCGTGAAGGATGCCAGTTAAATGCAAGTTGTTGTTATCTTACCTCTGTAATAGAACAAGCACAGATCTGCAAGCACAAACCATCGTTTCTTCCAGAGTTTCATACCAGTACTATCCTAAAACATAATTACAATTTTTTTTCATCATGTAATGATTAGACTTGTCATTTGAATTATTGTTTTCACAGCCTGTCAAGTGTCTCTAAATTAGACGATTTTGTTAAATCTTGATATAAAAGGAATACTGCAACAATATAATTTATATTTATCAGATTTAATGTCATCAACTTAATTTTTGAATTATAAGTACTTAAAAGGGATCAAAGTGAACATTATCAAGCATGTAAATTATATTGGTAAACAAAACAACCAACACTATACTAGGTCAGTACAACCAGTTATGAAAAGAATATCAGGTGACATATAGGAAGATTAGGAATAGAGAATAAAGCTTTCTGAAATCCATTTTCAGGTTGAAAATGTCTGTACAAAAACACGGAAATGTAATTTAACATAGCAGCATGGTGTGAAAGTCTGAAAACTTATCAGCAACTCCTTAGGAGCTATACCCAATCATAGCTGTATGACAGAGTAGTAGGAGATAGCAGTTTTGGGTCAGGAGGAAATGAGTCGGAAGACATCATGTTATTGTCAATTTTGTTTTCATTTGGGTTTGCCCTGGGGTTATGTCCGCTAGGTTTAGAACCAGTCAGACACATCCCTTAAGAAAAATGACATCTCTTATGTGCTCAGGTGCCACGCCACAAGCAACAGTTTGACAGCTGGTTGTACAATATTGCTGACTGCATCTATGAATTCAAAATCCTCTGAATTCCACACAAGATGAAATGGCTCAAATGTAACTAGAATTTGCATGCTTTTTTTAAAATCTCTGCCCTTGTAAATACTTCAACAATTCAATACTTCAAATGCATCAAGTGGATTTTTTTCCAAATAAATATGTACAAAGTAAACATCTCAAAGTTAAAACTGCTCAACTAATATTTTTCTGGAATACCTGTTTGTATAGCCAGCCACGTTTTATAACCGGTGCATTAGCATTCCTTTTAATAGAGTTTGACCTTTTGCCAAAATTGTGAATTTTCTTTGAAGATCTTGATGACTGAATAATAAAAGATGAAAAAAATGGTTTAGTCGAGTAATTGATAAAAAAAAGATGGATTTTAACAAGTTCACCTATATGTATATATATATATATATATAGGAAAATCATGAACGACACACATCAACTCAGTAATCAAGTTTTCTGTGCAATATCATGAACGACAGGCAATACCGCACCTTATTTTACAATGTTGCATTGAAGCAAAGGACCCCAATTATTCCACGTAGGATTGTACATTGATGGAGCCAAAAATAAATTGCCTAATTTTATGGTGCCAATTGATGCTCAGTGTAAAAGCAGATTTCAAGTTTAGCCTCACACAGCTTTACATGGCACCCAATGAACAGCATCTGTTCAGTTATAGAACTGAGAAAGGACCCTTTTAATCAAATAAATCTTGTTTTGGCAAGGTTAACACATTAACAGATTGGCTTTCACTTATAACTGAAGTACCTCTGCTATTTGAGAAAGTACAGGACAATTTGTACAGAGTCTAAACTGTGAAGATGTTGTACTTTCTATTCATTGTATAGAAAACTGTTCGCCAGTTGTTGGGACACTGTTTTTATTTAATATAGTTACCTTGTCAGGTTTATCCTTAATGGAGTGTCTATTAATAAGATTTACTGCTCTTTGAATATGAGGAGCATACATATTTCAATTAATGATAATTAAGCAGCATAAGTGCTGAATTTGAACAAGGTTTTTTTTTAAAACGATGAGCCCATATAATGCAGTGAAAACCCATTACACTTCAGAAGTTGGGGTCCATAAAATCCCAATTGGTAGTCAGTGCCTCCACATTCACTGCAAATTCACACAAAGACACCGCACTCCATTAGAACTTCAAAATGTCTGACTTCTGAGTCACCAGGCAGGTCACCATCGACGTCCCTCCGGTGTGCTGCACGATGGCTAGGTTTTTTAAGACACGATTAATCTGCCACACATATTTTGGATTTTGAGGGTAAGTGAATGTCAAGGCCACTGAAGCAAACCAATGTTCTAATTAAGTGCATAAAAGCAGGTGCTGATGTGCTCCATTGATGGGCTCCATTTTCAAGAATGCTTAAATCAAGACAAAATCTGGAATTTTTAAACTGTATCATTTGAGACTTTAGTGCTACAGTGGAGTACTGATCAATAACCATATCAATATCAATAATATTGATCAATAGTATCAATAATACTGCTTTTCAGTTTCCAATTGGATTTGCATTCAGGCACATTGTCACTTGCTAGACTGTACTGTATTTCACTTAATGTGCACTGATATATTTGAAAGATCAAACCACTTCTGAAAAAAATTACAGCTGCTGTAATGAAGCACATTGCTGATCAGAACTGACATTCCATCAAGGATTTGGTTTCACAGTTCTAATTTTACTCCGAGAATGACTAAAGTAGTAATCAGCTATAATTCTACATGCATCTATTGCCAGCTAATGGGAAATGAATCAACATAAAGGTTCTCTTAAATAGCATCTGTTTTATGAAAAGATATTATTTTTGAAAAAATTACCTTACGCATGGACTTTCAAAACAAAAACTGTTCCATTTTGTTACTTTGCTATTCGCCATCGTTTTGTGATTTTACACATCCACGTTCCAATTTATGAATCCCTTTTTTAAGTGTTTTATTTCTATCCAACTCACTTTCAGTCAATATATTTTCATCTCTTCCACCCTCTTAAATTTCAGGCTCTCTCTTACTTGAGCCTGTCTAATTCACATGACACAAGGCTCTCCCAATAGCTCAGCTAATTTATCCAGTTAATCGAGCTTTGTAATTCAAACTGGTAACACCGGAGGCTCAATCTACAGTCTGTGCTGAATTAGCTGAATTTTGCTTGGGCAATATGGTGGATGGACTGGTTTGAAAAAAAAAGGAAAAGAAAAACATCTATCAAAGAAAAATGCAGAGAAAAAAAAATCTATTTGAATACCATACTGCAGGTCAAAGGAATTATATATTCTTATATATGCCAAGAGATTTCATCTTGACAACACTTTAGATCTATTTGAAGAACAGAATGGGTCATTTTTTCTAACCTCACTGAAACTGATCCCAATGAAGATATTAAACTTCACCAAATAAATTAAAATAATAGATATCTGGTTTGACTTTTAATGGAATGATCCAAGTACTCTTCAGGCCAATGTGTAAATTCAAGTTGATGCTCAACAGTTGTTTGGAGTACTGACGAAAGAGGAACAATCTGGAGCAGACTATAATGAAAGTGTAAGTCGATCACTTGAGCACTACCATGTCTCTGGAGAAAGATAGCATTGAGGGGAATAACTGAAGAATATCTACTGTGTAATATGGAAGAACCAACATATTGTCGTAAAAAAGGTTTTAAGACTGTAGATACTATATTCAGTGCCTTCTGAAATATTTCAAGCATATCTGAATCTAAAAAGGCTGCCAACATGTCTATAGTTTGCTAATACAGGGTAGACTCTGGAAATATCCAGTAAATGAATGCAAAATTATTAACAAAGCTATTAAAGTACAGGGATGCAGAGAGCCTCCATCTCACGACATTTGATTAAAAGGGCACTGAAAATGTAATACTGCTCAATAAATTCTGTATCTCGTTGGAAAAGAACTAAAGTGAAAAGCAGGCAAAAATGTAAGATGATCACTTGAGCAATTCATTGGAGACATTCTGGAGAATAGCGAAATGTAAAGGTCAGTAAGTTACTTGCCATGAAGCAACCAAAAGGATTATATGTCTATATCTAAACAGGATGATATTCTATAATTCTAAAGGAAAGAGGCAAGGTTCTAGTTAATATTTTAAGAGGATTGTGTTTTAGCACATATAGTGCACTGAACTTTTTCCCCTTTTAAATTCTGTAAAGGAATGAAACATTAATCAGTAGCAGACCAGTTTGGCTAAGAGACAGTAGGAAAAATGAACAAGAGCATTTTACAGGACACTTTTCAAGTTCATTTAGAGAGCACAAAAAACTATTAAGACTACACAACAGTTGTGGAGAAAAAGGTTATGCCTCTTCCATTTACAGAAAGTATGCTGGCGCCCAGAAAAGATTTTGGATTAGATGAAGTTCTACAATTTATTTGGCATCTAAAAAAAATTGCAATGGTAGAAAATATCTTTGCTGGATTAAAGCTGTCCATCCAATAGGGGAAAAGTGCTAAATGGAAAAAGGCTTGGATGTTAATTCATGGTATATTTCCAAAATGATCCATTTTGTATCCACTTTCTAATGTATAAAATGATAATGGATCAGCCTGCTTCAGTGGTAGCACTCTCGCCTCTGAGTCAGAACTAAAAAGTAGATGACCTGAATAATAGATGAACTAAAAAAAAAAGCACATTTCAGTTGAAAAAAGAAGCCTTTGCACACTGGTAGAGGAGACACTAAAACGGCTTATAATGCACGGATACCTATTGCACACATGAAGGAGAAAAATAATCTGGATATCTGGAAATATCCAGTAAATGAATGCAAAATTATTGACACAGCTATTAAAGTATTGGGATGCAGGAAGCCTCCATCTCACATTTGATTAAAAGCCAAACAGAAGGGAATTCTGTTATGACCCCTTTGGTATAGCTCTGGCATCCTGTGGACCCGCACTAAGTGGAAGTGTGGTACAGTTTCCAACACTGGTTAGCGCTCTGTATTGCTCTGGGATGCCACCCTGCATGAGTGGCGCTATATAAATGCAAGTTGTTGTTTAGCTAACTTTCCGCGCTGAATTATTGCCGACTTGCTGGTCATCAGGTCGCTGCTGATGTCACCTACGACACGATATGCAGGCAATATGCAGCAAGTGCTGCTGTCACTTTAGCTTCCTGCACATAACATGGCATCCTGGAAGCAGGCTTTTTTTTGTTGGAAAAAGCACTTCGATTATAACATGGTCTCTGAGTTGTTGGACTCAAAAGTTGATTGAAATGAGGTTCCTCTATGGATTATTCGTACACTGTAAAGTCACTAGTATTGTTACATTTAGAACATTGCATTTAATATTGGAAATGGTTTAGAGAACAGTAAAAACTAGAAGCTAAATGCAGAGAATGAATGACGCTCACAAAACTGATTGGAGTTTCATTGCAGAAAAGATTAGGAGAAATGATACTAGTCTTTAAAAGGAATGGACACACCAAAAGTGCAGCAATAAACACCTGACTTAACTTAACTTAATACTGCGTATTAACACGCACAGCCAGGAAATATTACTTGCACCATTTTGTACACATTGAATTTTCTCACGCTTGTGAAAGCCCAAGACATTACTTCTTTTTCTGAACAAAACTTTTTAATGTAAACTACATAACTGAAATCATACAATAATGTACACTAATGGACAGTCAATAAACTTCAGTCCTAACAAAGGAGCAGTGGAAGGGTTGATTAAAACAAATAATACCTAGATACTAAAATACAATTTCAAAGCTAGAAAATGGCTGATTAGCTGAAGGGATTGTCAATGCTCATTAAGTACAATCTGCTGCATTTCTATTCCCATTATTTTTTAACAATCGTTATCTTTTGATTATATACACAATAATTTGGTTACTCAATCCATGATTGTTTGTGGGCAACAGCTGTGCACAAGTGGGTTCTGCGTTTCGCCCACAAAATAGTCAACTCACTTTACAAGATATTTTGTGAAGCGCTTTGAGACGTCTCAACTACATGATAAGGCGCTATATCAAATACAAGGATTATTATTATTATTTTATTATATTTCAAGGTATCACTCCAGTATGAGTATGAAATGAAAATGCACGGGTTGTCCAAAGTAACCATCTGAAAACTGAGTCTTTGAACTTGGCTTCCAAAAGCCATAACCATCTGAGCATTGCTGCACTTGAACAATTATTGACTACGACGTACAATCCAAGTTAAAATGTCAGCAAGTACAGTTTAATGTCAGTAGATTTCAGAAGCAGTCATCTTATCGTACATTAATACTATACTTACCCTGCCCACAGGGCTCATTGGAACCAGTGTCATTTCTGATGCCATCGTGTAGTTTGAAACCTCACTCACCACACTCACTGGTCGCTCTTTTCTTTCTTGAGAAGCCATTGTTGCAGCAGCCCTGAAATGAGCAAATGGGGATACAGTGAAGGCACACAGCTAACTAACTGTATACGAGGACAGATATAAATAGATATGCTCACTTGTCATTTTTGTAGCCACATCCTATTTTCTACATTCCTTACCAGAAAAAATACTGGGTTCTCATGAGAATTTGCAAGTGGAACGGACAAATGTGGGTCAAAAGCATTTAGTTTAACCACTTCACCCAGCATTGTGTGTTTTTTTTAAATTTCAATGCCTCCAAAAAAAGACATAGCTCACAATTTTATTGTTCATTTTCCTATGTAAACTACCAGCAAAATTCTCTGGCATAATCAAGAATTGATATGTGAAACCAGAAGCCCGAGAAAAAGAATAAAGGAGGTGTTAAAGGCCGGTTATTAATTTTAACATTTCATTATACAGGTATTTACTTTTCTACTGTTAATATAAACACAAAAATTAACATTATTGCTGTTTAAACACATTTAAACAGTTAACAAATCTGATATTGAAATTATTATCTTAGTTCCACAATGCTGTGGAGAAATACCATCACTTCCTCCTTTATTCTTCCTGAAAAAAAGTGAATTCCTCCAATTCATTTATAACCTCCTACATTGTAGAATTATGTTCTCATTGTGACGGGGTTTCATAGACTTCCACTGGAGTTATTGAATTGCAAACCAAATTTGTTGTGAACAATAGCAATTGCATGTTTCCAAAATCCACGGCTGAGGGAACGGTGATTCCCAAGTCAGCAAGGCCCAAAGAAAAACTGGCAAATCAAATCTTTCCAATCAATGTAGCAAATTTGGTTCATAAACATTGCAAACTAATCAAATTATCTTTTTTTAACAAAAAATTGAATCCACTGCCAAAAATATACCTGCTCAAAATGACATCAGTGAGTATAAAACTTTGAGACAAACAACGTTTCCTTTAGGAACCGGAATTGGCCTGGAGTCTTTTTCAGGAGTGGTGAAGGTATGGGAACCTGGGAGCATCTTGCAGGAGCAAAGAGCATTGCTAACTGATGAGCGGTGATGTGACAGCACTGCACTTATTAGTTTCTGCTGTCTATCTAGCTCCCTAGGTTCTGAAGATTCAGAGAGCTGGACTGCGCAAATCCTTTGCAAGGTTAATTAAAATTCAGACCAATATTAACTGTACAGTATTAAAAACAATACAGAATACGTTCTAGAGAATTACAGGCAGCAATCTAATTTTGGTGTCGAGACAGCTAAGAAACTGAAAGCCGGTTTTTCGCATTTCTTTCTTAAGAATTTTCCACAATTGTGCTAGATCTTAAATTTTAATATAGAATGGTCTTACGGACTAAGACTAACCTGCATTTCAAACTTTAACTCCTGTGATATTATAAGAATGGTTCAATGAGAGACTGCACAACAATGTTCCACAAACAACCATGAAGTGAAAGGACATTTTTATCTGGAGGATTGTTGTCTATGACACCGGGAGAAACTCCCTCTACGTTTTAAAATTGTGTTATGGGATCTTTAAAGTCCACCTTAACAGGCAGAAGTGATCTTGGTTTAAAATCCCAAGCTCTACACTGGATTGAGAGCAAAAACTCCCAATGTGAGGCTTGAACCCACAACCTTCTGCCCAAGAGGAGAGAATGCTATTAACTGAGCCGGGCTGACACATAAGGTCAACCAAGATCAAATCTCATGGATAAAAGTTCAAAAGTAAGTCATCAGGAAGAATTAGACAACAGCACTTTATGGCCAGATTATTCTGAGCATGTTCTTTGAGGCACAAATTTTCAGGCAAGATGCACCTCACCTTAAGATATCCAAAAGACCTCTCCATCAACTGCAAGTTCTTTCATTTGGAGAAAGCTACTTAGCACAAGTTGCCATGTATAAACAGACAGGCTCATTCGACTAAAGGATTCTAATAGGAAACATTTCCCTTGGCTCTAATGTTGGCAAGAACCTTCAGAGTTCTTATCAAGTACAATCGAACATGACAATCTTGAAACGTCAAAATGTAACCAAATGATCTTGAACATGTAGGTATAAAAACAATAACGAAAATTGTGAACAAGAGCACAATCAAAGTACTCAAACTACTACTACCCTGAAAAAGCAGGACCTCAAAACTGAGGACAGAAAGGGCGTTGGAAGGGACCACAGTGGAATTTTGTCATTCCATTCTATTGATCCCACTTACTTTTTTGTGCTATTAATGTAGGTTCTGCCTTATAATTCAGGTGGAAGAAAAGGGACCATTCTCCTGTTTTCAACCCAATAGTTAGCTTATAACCACAATAAGGATGCACGTTTTTCGTACAACATTTAGTATTAGTAACAATTTAGTAAAATGCACACTTCTGCTTCAAGGTACTAACTAGCGTTATTATTCTTTCAGAATTGGGCACCAATCACACTTTTCCATACACTTGCACCAAACACAAGTAAGGTGTAGTGACATGGATATTGTAGAAAGAATCCCGAATTACATTTACAGCAAGAATGAGTTGAATAACAATTCATTTTCAGCTTGGGAATGTTATTATGCTCTTGGTGCCAACCGATCCCTCGAGACACAGGTATGCAAGTTGCTTAGCATGTTTGCCGATTAGTCTGGTCAGGTCAGTACAAGTCCCATCACGGTGCCATTGTCAATACACATCAATCTTTTTAAAACAATCTGAGGCTACATTTCAGCTGTAGACTGCAAGAGGCACCACCCAAAGCAAGAAAACTTATTCTGACCATGCACGGTAAGTAACTCTGTTCTTAACCTATAGCCAAACCATTCATTTCAGGAAGAAAATTGATGCATAATTGAAGCTCCTGTCATACAGAAAATACAAGTTGGTGAAGCCACCAACATGGTCAAAGAACAAGAGATGCTAAAACTTTCAGCGATAGACAATGCCGTGAGGCTAGAAATCTTCTAACTGAAGCATTTGTCTATGTGACATCCCTCTCCACAACTGACAACTTGAAGCTTCAGGCATTTTTCTGAAAGAATATTCTGAACAGCAGGTTTATCCATTCATTGGATCACAAATATCATGAATCTCTCTCAAAAGTTGCTGCATATAACAAAATATCATCATCGCTCTTAACAAGGAGGGGAAGAGAAACTAATCTGAGTATCAGCCAAATTCCCCTGCTCAGTGTCCAGCACCATCTCTATATCGTGCTCTGATCCTAGTCCACATGAAGGACTCGATATAAATCAGTGTTGAAAAAATAGAGGGGAAAACTCTTGAGAAAGACTGACCAGAGAGAGACAGGTGGAGTGACACACAGAACATGTCCACAGGGAGACAGCTTGATAGTAAGGGGGGGGCAGAGAGGAAGAGAAAAGACACGGAGATTTATTCACAAAGTACAATGTGACCCCATTCATTTAGAACGCATATACTCTGAGGGCTCATGTCCAACTCTCTCGCTGCGCATGCGCAGGGGTCGAATGCAGAGCCAACCCTAACACGTTTGTTTGTGCATTGCAACAATGGAAGGGCTATTGACAACAATCTGATGATCTGGAAGTCAGCCAATTCGCCTTCCCCAATGCAGCTGCCATTTTGTCTTTCTGCACGGATGCCTAGTGAATGTGCAAGTGCTAACCAGGAATTGTTTCCCATTATATTCAAGTTGGAACTTATTATGGGTCCCAACTACTGAACAATAACAGGGGTCCACTGTGTTGTCATGCCTGCTCCCAATAGCTCACTGAACTCGACTGAACTTGAAAGGGGTTTGGAGAAACTCTTCAAAGAATTGAAGAACAAGATTTCAATTGTCTTATCGAAGGGACATCAAAGTGATCAAGATTGAGTGAAACTGATTAAATCCTGACAGGCTTTAGATAGAGCACAAAGGGTTTCAAAGGATGAACAAAGATTGAGCTTTGAAAGTGACAGCATGGACAACTGAATTTCAGTAGGAGGCAATTCTGCCAATCATACTCAGTTTGCGCTAGTTTAATTTCTAACGATTCATACAAGTCAGTTTTCTTTCCAATTCCCAGGAAATTAAAGAATCTCCGAAGCATAGCTAATCTCACCAAAATTAATAGCCCATCACTTTGAAGAATTTTCATTGTAGTGTGATGGAAGTGCAGGACTTGGACAGGGGAATTCTGAATAGTTTTTTTGTTTGTGAAATGTAGAGCCAGTGATAAGAGTGAAGAGCGCATTGAAGAACTGAGCCAGAAGTGATGAAGACTTGAATAAGGGTTTTAGGAAGAGCACTGGTGAGGTAGTGGCAAAAGTGGGCAATGTTCTAAATGTGAAAGTCAGCAATGGAATGAATGCGACAATAAATAAATAATGATAATCCTTGTATTTGAAATAGCGTCTTCATGTCGCTGAGATGTCTCAAAACGCTTTCACAGGATATACTGTAAAGTGGTGACACTGTGTATATTTTGTGGACAAACACAGGATTGAAACTCAGCATGGAGTTGAACAGAACAGTGAGGTTATGCAACACCAGAGTCAGCAACAAAGGAGATTAATGAAATCAGAGACACTGGTCATAATTTGATCCAGTGCTCGTTGAATTATGTTTGTAAAGTTGAAGATTCTGTGTTCTTTCTTCAGAACTCACCCCCTTTACATTTCGGATTAGTCATATTGCTCTATTCTGTACTTATCTCACGCAAATGTTAGTTTTGTAGTGTAATCAAATGTTTACAGAACATTCTAGGTGTGGTTTGACCCAGAGTTGTCGAACCCAGATTTGTACTGATCCACATGTGGCTCATGAACAACTGGAGCTGTAGTAGAAAATGTTATAATAAAAACTAACTCACTATTAAAAACAAAGGGTTGGAAAAGTTTTTAAAAATGCTATGAGTGCATTGCATGTCTCAGTTACAATATAGAACAAGATTTCGAGCATGAAACCAAAGTTCTAATGTGAGCAAGAAATTGCTGTTGCCAGGGGCTGGGTTCAAGAAGAGTGCTCAAAACTGTAACTTGAACAAATTCTAGTTAATTTTCAAACTGTTAAAGAGGGGGGGGAACTGCAG